TTAGATTATTACATTTTTTGGTTTTTGTGAGTCATTGAAAGCCAACCATTCTGGTACACGGATTCTTCTCTGTGTCTTCTTTAGAAACAATTCCCAGTGGTGGATTGGCTGGGTCAAAAACTTTGTATTTAAGTTGCCACCTCTCCATCAGCCGTTCTCCAAATTAGCGATTTAACCTCTCACCTCTCGTGTTTCAGTGTCTGCCGCTGTGTGTGCTAACGCTCAGCATTAAAATTGTTAGGGTCAGTTTGATTTTTAGGCCAAATTGTACTGCATTCCCATGTGGGTTTCTTCACTATTCCCTGTCTCAGTCATCACTGAGACTTCAGTGTGATTCAGGGGAGAATGGGTGGACTTGAAAGTCAGCCGGAAAATATTCCAGTTCCTCCTCCTCAAAGTACAGGGCACAGAACATTAGGAAGCCAGGTAGCATCTTGGCGGACGAGTTCTTCCTTAAGCTTCCAAAAAAGAAAGAGCCAATGTCTTAGGGTTACATTTATCTCAGAAACCTGAGGTTATTGTGTGTGTGTGTGCATGCTCGTGGGCATGTTGATCACGCAGGTATGCGTGTGTGTGTGTGTGTGTGTGTGTGGTTGTGTGTGCATTCAGAAGCCCACTTCCATTCTATTTTTGGGTTCTAGTCATCTTTTCATTCAGTGAAGGTGAGCTGAAAAGCTGCCCTTGCGAGCAGCTTGAGTGCCACGACCCTGCCTTGGTGTCTGGCATCAGCAGTGCCTTGTGGTGAGGGACCCAGGAGGGAAAGGGCTTCTCCCGAGGGCGCTTCAGGGGCTTCACTTTATAAATCAGTGAACTGAGACTCAGAGGTGTGGAGCTAGCTTTCTTTACCCAAGATCACACATCTAGTTAGTGCTGCTTTGCTGTGAACACCAGGCCTTGGTCCTAGATCAGCATTTTAAAATCAACTACTTATTTCTCCTCAATAAACAGGTGACCGAGTGCTGTTAAAATATTTATTTTTAGGGGCTGGGGATTTAGCTCAGCGGCATAAGCGCCTGCCTTGCAAGCAGGCAGTTGTGAGTTCAATCCCCGGTACCGATAAAAAGGAAAAAGACAAAAAAATATATATATATTTTTAAAGCCGCACACAAGACAGTGTAATACGTGTGCAGAGATGATATAAATAAAGTTGTGGAATAAAGTTGTGAATTACCTTTGCCCCTGATTCCAGCTTTCTGGAATAAACTCCATCCTGATTTGTGTTAACCACTTCTTCACTTATATTTCAGTTCCTAACACCTACACATATTTCCCTGAATAAGTATCACTGGGCAGCCATGGCAGATGGGAGGCATAAAGGTGGTGCCTATGACCACTTGAAAATGACTTCAAAGTGGCCTGGAACCTCATTGATTTGGATGATGCTCCACACACACACACACACACACACACACACACACACACACATATTTAGTCTTTTTGAGACAGGTCTCGCTATGCAGTTCAAGCTGGCCTCGAACTTATTTCATAGCCAATGCTAATCTCAACCTTGCAGTGATCTTCCTGTTTCAGCCTCCCAAGTGCTGGGCTATCATGCCCGGCCATCCAGACACTTACAGTCTCTCACATTTTTTCTACCTGTTTTCATCTTATGCTCCACTTTTTAGATTGCCTTGAATGCTTATTCTACTGATTTTCTCGCTTCTGCTGTGATGTTTCAGTTTGCAAAAGCCCTTGTTTGCAGCCAGCGCTCCTGTCTAGCTCCGGTTTCTTACTGGGGTCTGTGGTGTGATCTGGGGCTGTGGCTGCGGGTTGTTTCTTTTCCAGTTTGCACAGCCTCTTTCTCCTCTCAGCCGCATCTCTGAGAGGTGTGACGGGGGCAGGACTCCTGCTTCCACACGGCGAGCGTCTAGTGGAGTTTCCCACTGGGCTCTTTCACAGGGCAGCACCAGCTCTTGAGGCCGCTTCCAGACACACTCAAGGTTTGGAGCCTTATGGGAACCAGACCTGAACCTGAAGCCAGCTGAGCTGAGGCTGAGCGGCAGATGTGCGACCGTGCCCTCTCCACCCGGTGGGGGCAGAACCCACCTGTCCCTTCTAAGACACAGTGTTGAACAGCAAGTTCCGGACAGGAGCGCACAGGGAGAGGGTCGACCGTAGTCTTGCAGACTTGACCCCTAGAAGAGACCCATTTGAAGCAGGGTTCTGTAGAGAACGTTGCTTTGAGAGGGACCAGTGGGGAAAACTGAAGAGTAATGTCCAGAAAGGCTCAATGGGCTCAGGCCTGAGGTAAAATGGGGGCCGAGGGAAATGGCTGGGGTCAGTTTCAGCTCTTCTCAGGGCTGGGGCAGGGAAGCAGGACCCTGGAGCGATGATCTGTGTTTGTCTGTGTGGCCAGGAGCCTGGCCATGGAGGGCTGCAGACCGCGTTGGAAGAACTCAGGACTTTCCACTGAGAACAACGGGAAGCTGGCACACGTTTCAAGGTAGGGTCACTGGATTAGGCTGTGAACTTTGAGAGATGACAACAGCATAAGGAGTTGGGACACTTGGGGTGAAGCTGTGCTGTCATCAGGCTAGCACTGCCATCAGGCCGCTGTGCCGTGGTTAGAACACAGAGGCAGTGAGGGATGGGAGGTGACCATCAAGGCAGGCAGTGTGTGCACGTTTCCCAGGCTTCTGTCTACGGGGTGAACAGGACACCCGTGAAAACAAGCTCTGAGGCCTGTCCAGACTTGTGCTCGTCCTTCCGTGTCCTGCACTTCTGAGGCGGGAGACAAAGGCAGCAGGGATGCTGGGATGGCAATACAGGGAGGACTGGAGTGGGACCCCCCAGTGTGCCTCAGTGCTGCTCCTTCTGCGGCCGAGTGTGCGCGCGCGGGTGCACATGTGTGTGTTCATATCCACAGCTGTGGAGGAGATCTGTTCCTCACCCTCTTTCTGTAGAGTTCTGATAAGAACCTCTCTGTCAAAACAAAATGTCATTTCTGAGAACAAATTTTACATGCACCAGTGGCCTGCCATAAAAATGTGTTTTTTGAAAAATGGAGCAGCACAGGTTGGCTTCGTGAGTGCCCATTAAAACATAAGGCTGTTCCCACGCGAGCCAGGGCAGGCATTTCTCCCACCAGCTGGCATCATGAGAAAGATGCAGAGGCTTTACAGGGCAGTAGGTATAATCGTAGCTTGTGAGTTAGAACACTGGGGATTCAAGTTTTAGATTCTGTGCAATTAAAAAATAGCTAGGGTTGATATTGACAACACAGAAATTGATGTTCTACAGAGAAACTGATATAAGGAAATGGATTATAATAATCCTCCAAGGTGCAAGGTCCAACTCACTGAGCCTACTCGGAGGGACTTGGAAGCCCTGCGAAATCTGCAAGGCAAACAGAGCAGTGGGTATGAGAATTTCTCTGTGAAAGGGAAACAGGGCAAAAGCCACAGGCAGTGAGCCCCCACTTCTTTTACCCAGCACAGCACAGCTGGGTGTCCCGGAGTCCTTTCATGGGACTTTGCAATGACTTGATGAGAGCCCACAGCAAATGCAGAGGTTTTCAAAGGCCTGGTAAGACCAAGCTGATGTTTCCTCAGAGCTTGCACGGTGAGGATGAAATCACAGGTTATCAGTGCCACCTACTGTAATTTGTTTTTCTGCTGATTCAAGAGAACCCTAAGTTTTTGTTTTCTTCCCATGCTGGACCTGCATCTTGGCACAAGCTGAGAAGGATGCTTTTCTGTGAGGAAAACAGCTGTCTCAAGTGGAATTCTTTGCTTCTTTAGACCCTGAAGTACAGGGTCTAAATTCCACGTATACTAGTGGTCACTAAGGGGAACAGAAATGGCCAGAGCATTTACCACAGGTGCGGGCCAGCTGTGCCCACTGATGAACTCTAGCTCCAAGGCTTGCAGATTAGGGAATGTTAGGGACTGACCCATCACCAAGCTACAGCAGGAGGCACGACTTACATCTAATCAGCAGACCACGGTAAAGGTGACAGGGAGCCAGTCCCAGGGCGCTGTTGTGTCACTTAAGGCATCATCTTGCTACATCTGCCAATGTTTCCTCCTTGTCACTAGCTTAGATGAAGCAAACTGCCACGTGCCTCAGAACCACCAGGAAATAAATTCTTCCAAGAGGAAGCTTGCAAGTGTCTCCTCCCCGTGTGGCCTCCGGATGAGACCTAGCTCCAGGAGACACCCTGCCTGCAGTCTCACAGAAGCCAGGAGGTGACAGGTGTATCTTGTGTCCAGTTGCTACTTTTTTTTTTTTTGATAACTTTTCTGTAACAATAAAAAACCAGATTTGGTACCAGGAAGAGGATACTGTTGTCACGAATACCTAAATACGTGTGACAGGCTTTGGAACTGAGGCGAGGGACACCGTGAAGAAAAGCAGGTTGAGAACACGAAACTCCTGATACCGTATAATTTCAGACACAAAAGAGTACACATTGCTAAGGACAGAAAGACATGAACACACAGGCCTGGATTAGGGCAGCTAACACAAATGCATGTTGCAAACAAACTAAGATGATTACGGTGTACTCATATAAGAAGGCCTAAATAGAGTATGACTTCAAAAAAAATTTGGTCACAATTAAAATGATCTTAAGGACCAGCTGAAGAGTGGGCATGGTCCAGCTGTGGAACAGGCAGCTAGGCCTCTGTAGTAGCACTGGGTTGATTTAGTCAGCTGGAGAAAGGGTTACAAATGTTTGCAATAGAAGACTCTTCGGTAGATTAATTGCACCGAGGCACACAGAGCCTATTTATCAGCAAAACTAAAATTCAAAAATGAGCTATCCTCTTTGAAGCCACTGCAGGCAGCCTAGCATTTATATAAAGATATTTTGCTCCCATCTCTGACCCCTGGAAAGGTCCATACACAAGGGTTTCAGCATACACATAGGTTTCAGCCCGGGGCACACAGGATATCTCTACCGTGCAGACAAAGGGCTGAAGGAGGCCTTTGATGTGACACACACATTACCCTGGGGCTAACCACACATGCTACTGAAATCACTGAACATGGAGAAGTGGTTTTCGATGCATCTGTCATTTTTATTTTGCTATGCAGTAACATTCACCACAGGGTGTAATGAGTCGACAGGGGAATGGAGAATATATCTTTCTGAAGGCTATTTATAACTAAACACTAAATAGTTTAATTACAGTGGAAAGTCTGTACAGTTTAAGGCTTGGCTCTGAACTAGATTGTAAATATGGACCAGATTTGGAAATAAAACTCTTTTTCAAGTAAAAGAAGAAGGAAAAAAAAATCCATGAAAAAAATACCAAGAAAAAGAAACAAAGAACACAGCCACAGAAGCCCGTTGGGTTTTCTGGGAGCAAAATTTCATAATATTGTAAACTAACAAAAACACAGGTTTTCTTCTCCAAACAATGACAATTTACATACTTGGGACTTGTTAGGGAGCTCCGGGAAGCTTTCCAGATTGAACATAGACCAAAGCGAACAAGAAGGAAGAAATCACATTAATATGCTAAAACCAGTTCTACCTTTTAACGGATTAAATTAGATGCACAAAGCAAGATTATAAGCATTAAGTGTTTCCGGAGGGTCAGAGAGTCATTACTGTTTATGGGTGAGAATAATAAAACCAGATGAAACAAGTACAAGATTCAAGTTGTTTACTGAATAGACTCGGTTATTGGCACATCTAATCTGGGGTAAATCGGACACACCGGACCTAGACAGCTCCTAGCACTGTAGGGTAATCTTCATGTGTCTGTAAACGAAGGATGTTTCGCCTAAGAAACTGCAATTTTGTGGAGACTGTAATAATAATAAACTATGGGAGGCATGGACTGTCGGTGTGTTACAGGAGATCACGGTTTATATTGTTGGTTGTGAACGTGCAGGTATAGCTGAAAACTGAGACGTTTGTGAAAAGTAAAAACGCTGCTTGGTTGTAATTTTATCCTTGCTTCATGCAATATCAGTTTAGTGACGCTGATTCAGATTGCTTTATTACGGGAAGATCTCTGCCAGTGTCCTTATCAATGGTCAAGGTCAGTTCTTCTGGACTGGAATTTTCCACGGACAGACACGAGTCAGTTGGGTTAGAAGAGGCAACTCCGTAGAGGCTCTGGTTTTCCTAGTGATTTGCAAATACTGGATTCATGTGCAACCTAAGTTATTCCTGTGGAAGAGAGATTTGATAGTCACTCATTTGAGAGCATCTGAGAACTGTGCTCAGGTCAGGGTCCCCAGGGGAGTCTCTTGGCAGGTTAAAATGCTCTTTCAAGACACTTAACATTGGAGCCTATGTCACTGTGTCTGATAAGCATTTTCTTAAATAACTGCATCACCCCAGTGGCTTCAGCTCAGTGAAGAAAACCTTTTGCTTCCCATTGTTCCAATATATTACTCATTGAACACAAGTGACTTCAAATGCCCTTCAAAGTGATGTTACTCATCAGCCTAAAGATTTCTGAATCAATGCTAGAGAACGTTTTTATTAGGTCTCTGCAATGTTTTATCCCATAAACACATTCATATCCCATGAATACAACATGAAGCTCAACTGTTGTATTCAGCGTTCAAAGCCCTCTAAAGGATGCTCATGCCCGAAGAGTCCCTCATGGCAGGTCTGTGCACAGGTGGAAGAGGTGGGGTGCTCAGGATGCGGCCATACAACTGGCAAGGCATGCACTTTCTGGAGGAAAACAGGACGCACGGCTGTGCATCTGCCTCTCCCGAAAGACAACAGTACGAGTCATCTCACCGAATACAGGAAATAGGCAATGTCCAAAAAGAAAGTTTCAAATTAAAAAAAAAACAAAAACAAAAAACCCACAAAGCATAAGCAGGCTGTGCCCAAACACAGTTGAAGAGCAGGTTTGCAAAGGAGGATGTTGTTATCAAGAGGAATAAAGGGTGCCTACTGAATTTCCCTTTACCTGGAAACACACACATTGCACCTCTCAGAACAAAACTGTGTTAGTTCTGCTTAGGCCACAAGGCAAGAGAAACTGAATTTGCCATTTAGATTGGGGTGGTGAAAAGCGTGCAGGGCACAGTTAGAAGGCAGCAGTGGAGGAGGCCACTCAAGCAGGGACTCTGCCTTTCCTTCCTCCTCTAACTGGCTGGCAGTAGATGCAGAACAGCTTCAAGCTGGAACCTCACAACTGGTACCCAGTTTTCAGTTCCCTCGGTAACCAGTCCCACAAACGCCAGTGAGGGAAGAAAGGAAAGGAGGGGGCGACAGGGAACTGGCCCATGCCACATGCCAGCCAGGCAAGCCTAGTGATCGGAGCCACCTCTTACCTCTGGTCAATCCTCTCCATCTTCCGGTGTGATCTCTGTCTCTTTATGGACCACTACTTTGGTCACTGACATGTCAGGGTGCTGCTCTTTGGCCTCTTTAATTGCCTGAGCCAGAGCCTATCCCCAGGAGATCACAGAAGGGCAAAAACAAAAAGGAGGTGGGACATGCATGAGCAGCAGCAAGGTGTAGACTTCCGAGCTAAATCTGTACCCACCATTTACACACGAGGAACGATTACAAAAGGAATCAACCATCACATACTGGAAAGTTAACTCCGAAAATGTCTTAGAGTACATGACGCGCTGGAGGAAGAGCATGGGGAACTGCGGGGCCAACAAAGTGGTCTCTGTTTGTCTCTGCCAAGGGCATTTACTGTCTCGTAACACTACCTGGTCATGGTCAATGTCGGCATCTCCTGTGATGACTATTCTCTTCTCAATCCTTGTCTCCGAAATGCCTCCTTTCACAGTCTAAAGGAAAGAATGAGAAGCAATAGGAAACTATTCATGGGCACGAACAATCACTGTCCCACCCAGCAAGGGCAGATGTGTGACAGCTCTATGTAGCATTCACACCCATTCCCCGCCCCGGCCTGAAACAGAGGTCTGCGGCAGTTGCTGAATAAACTGAATTCTGGAAGTTAGGAGACAGAGGAGAGCTTCAGGTTTGGGCAGCCAGGGTTTCTGGAAGACCCTGCCTTGAGCCCAGCAGCTGAGCGAGTGTGGAGCACAGGGAACAAGCATGAACATTCCTCAGCTGAGACCAGCACATGGGCCCAGAGCATCGTGAATACAGAAGCTGGCAGAGCTCCCTCTGCAGCTGGCCTGGCACCTGACAGCTAAGTCACTCATCCACTCACTCAGCGCGGGCTTCCAGGAGCTTGGCATCTGCCTTTCTCCAGCTCCCTGGCACAGCCCCAGGCTCTGCCCACTTACTTTGGTGATGTGCGTGGTGGTGGTGGTGCTGGTGGTCTCTGAGGTGATCGTCTGGGCGCTCATCAGCACGCCTGGCTCCAGGTCTGCCCCGGGATCCACCTAAGCAAAAGCAGAGAAACCCAGCCCTGGGTTCACGTGGCCCTTTGAGAAGCTGCCGTGTTTGGTGGTTAAGGCACCTAGGTGTCCGAGCTACAGGTGAGCCCTGCGCTGCTGTGGGCACTGCCTCTGAGGACACAGCCAACCGCAAACTGAAACTACATGGGGAAAATACGAGTTCGTTAACAAACTGGTGCAGACTCTTTACTTGTCATTAACCTTTGAGTAACAAACTGTAACAACCATCGCTGTAGCATTTATGCTGGGTTGGGAGGAGATTTAAAGTCACACCGGAGGATGGGAGGATGAGCACAGGTTATAAGCAAATGCTATGCCACCCACAGGGGTCCTGGAACACTGACCCCACAGATGGGGATGGAAACTGCTCCCAGGACACCATGCCCCGCAGTGGGAATCTCGGAGCAGCCTGGATGGTAAAAGCCAAGCAGAGCTGAGTTCACTGTCTTCACATTAATGCAAGACGCTTGAGCAGCTCAAGCAGCAGATGACTCCTGGGACCTACGCCTACAGCTGTGGTCCTGGGACTTGGTTCTGTGGCTTTTTCTGTGTTCTGAGATATGTCAAGGTCTGGTTACGCTCTTTCTGCTCCGCAGTCAGGAAGACAAGTACGGTTCCTGTATTACTGATGGACATGGTCTTCACCCATCAAATATCTGCAGCTCTGGACTGGAATGCACGAAGCCCTAAATGGAAGAAACCCTGAAGCGCCAAGGGCTCGGTCTTCACAGACGGGCTTACCTGTGAGGATTCGTACGTGATGGTTTTCGTTTCTGTGTGAACCACCGGCACTTCTTTTGTAGAAACGTCTAGTTCCCCACCCGCTGGTGAACCGCTGCCAAAACTGATGGTTTCTATCTTCATGGCTGTCGACTGTACCCGAGAGAAATTGGTAGAGTGGCGGTTACTGTTTGAACAAATATTCCCGGGTTTCCCTTCTCTTCTTTGCTTTGGTATTTTAGTGCTTGGTCTAAGCACAGGGTAATTTGAAACAAGGGCTTAGATATTACACTGGGAACCAGCTAATAAATGAGGCATACAACAAACATATTCCAGTCTCCTCAAATTCCACTGTATTTGTGATACAAATGCTTTGGCTAAGAAAACATTTTGAAAAAAAATTTTTTTAAATCCAGGCTTTATATCATACTCTTCAATCTCACACACTAAGAGTTGGAACTTTAAATGAGCCTTATAATAATTTAGAAAGATGGAGTAAGTATTGCCAGCGGTGCCCCCCCCCTCAAGAATCTCAATAAAGGAGAATAAAAAACAATTTCTTGGCACCAGGAACCTGGGCAAGGGGATTCTGGTCCTTCAGGAGGAGTGTACTGATGAGAAATAAATCCATCAAATTTTCTAACGTGTTGGGCAACCTCGCTCTCTCGCGTCTACTGTGAACGAGATGATGTCCACCATAAATGCCCATTTTCTGGAGCGGCACATTAGTGAGAATCCGCAGTGAGGGCTACCCGGGCTCCAAAGCTGGGAAACCATCTCGGAAACGCCCGCCTGCCATGCAACAGGGAAGGAAGAGGAGAAACTGCACACAGCCACGGTGGCTGGTGGCACCTTCCTGGGCCTTTACGCTGATCCCGTCTCAGGGCACCTGAGGGTCCCTGTAGCGCTCTGAGCAGCACAAAGCAGCAGTTACCTCAAAATGCGCCATCTGCGCAGAGGTGTCCGGAGCGTGGACAGCCGCTCCCGGGGCCTCCTCCGGCTTGTGCGAGGCGGTGGCTGTCTCCTCCTGTCCGGGGACAAGTTTCTCAGCCTCCGGGCCTCTCTCTTTTGTCTCTTCCGCGAGCACGGAGCCCTCCTTCCCCTTTGTGCCGGAAGCATCGCGGGGCACAGGCTGTCCTGCGGGCTCCACGTCCTCCCCCGCCGCGTGAGACGCGTCCCCGCTGGCGTGCACGCTCATCACGCGCCGCTCCTCCACCTGTACGGTCTCCACCTGCACCACCTTCTCCGTGCCAAGTGGCGTCTGCGGCTGCGGGGCCCCCTTGGTCTCCGCCTCGCTGGGCTCGGCCTTGCTTTCCACCTTCTGTAAGAGAAAAGCCGCGGTGTCAGAGTGGCTCTCCACCCACCGAACAGGAAACAGAAACAACAAGAAAACCAAAGCCACCACTCCGCGCTGAGCGCGCACAGGAAGAAACGCTCATGGGAACTTAGCTTCCACGGCCCACAGCAGAGCTCTCAAGTGTGCCAGCCCTGATGCACACGGTGACACAAGCTGCTACTGCACCCTCCACAAGCCACACATTAAAAAAAAAAAAAGAAAAAAGAAAAAAGCGAGAGCATTGAAGCATATACACACCGGTTTGGGCGGCTTTCTCACATGGAACACATGAGATTGAATGCTTCTGAAAATTAACCACTATTAAATTCTCAACACCACTGCCTTTTTTGAATAGGGGAAATGCATTCTTGAAAGGGGGTCAAGGGCACAGGACAGACATGCTCAGCGCGCACAGAGGACAATCAGGGAGACCTGGCAGGATGGACGGCAAAGCCACTTGCAACACACACACAGCGTGGGCCACAAAGGCGGGCGGCAAGGCAGACGTGCACACTCAGAAAGCAGGGACGGAAGGAGGGGCCACCTGCACCCAGCTCTGCGAAGTGGAAGTCACCCCGCCTATGAATTCTGTGGGCTTGCGCGCCGACTCTAACAGACTGAAGATCTCAGAGCCGTCCATGAGCTTTTCTCCAGATGACGGCTTGGTCTGAGTGGAGAGAGAGACAAGAGTCAGGCGCGTGGGCCGACACGCAGGGCGTGCACGCGGTCACGGCTCGGGAGGCGGATCGTAGGCAGAGGGGGAAGGGAGGAGGAGAGATGGAGGGCTCCAGAGTGCGGCCTTTGGGAACGGAACAAAGAATGGGAACTCAAACAGCGAACTGGGTTGACTATGAGCTCTCAGTGGGTAAAGCAGAGAGTTATTAGGGTTGGGGGGCGGGGTGCTGACTTAAGCAGGTCATTTCTTCCCCCTTTCTCGCAAGCCACAGCAGCACCATCACATCTGGGGGGACGCGCACAGCTGGAAACGAAACGGAAAAGTGTCAAAAGGCCGAGTTGGGGCTGAGGCATTGAGTCAATCGTGAAAAGAATCAAAAAGCTGGGCTGGCTGCTCTCAAAATAAAGCCAAGCAGCGAGAGGAGCGGAGAGGCTCGGGGTGGAAGGGACCCGCCTTGGAGAATGTCATGCTGCAAATGGAAACTGTGACCGAATGACGGCCACTGGTTACCACCACTCGGGACGCCGACGACTCGGTGACATAATGAGCAGTAGCAACGGTGACGCCCGGCTCCTGGGAATACCTCCATTCCGACAGGCTCTTCCTCCGGGGACCGAAGAGCCCCACTTTTAAGACCTCGCTCTCCGGAGCTTGCTCGGTTTTACCGAACCGCATGCTTTCAGGGCGAGGGTGGGAGGCAGCCACCTCGTCGGCCAGCGTGGGCGTCTTCTTGAGGTCGTCTTCCGGGCTCTGCAGACGAGACTCGGCTTCCTTGATGGGCGTCAGGGATTCTGATAGCTTCCGCTTTGGCGTCTGGACTTCAGGTCCTCTCCTAGATTTCTCTTCAGCCAGCGCTTGCAGGACCTCGAATTCCGCCAGGATGGGAATGGCCTTCCCCGGCTGCAACACACCCCTCTCCATCCTCTCAAGTCCATCCGGCATGGAAGGCTGGGGTGCCTTCTCCCCATCTTTCCCCTTCCCTGTCATTGTAACTATTCTTCCCGACACCGTGTCGTAGGACTTCCCTAGCGTGTACAGTTTCTGTTTGTTCTCTTCTTTCAGCTGCATGTCTCGGGCCAAATCATCCAGACTATGCATTTCGACCATGCCAGACTTCAGCAGGTCCGCCGGGAGGTCACCTGTCCTACTGCTCATGGTCACCACCTTGTAGGTCACAATCTTTCTTGAATCACCATCAACTACCTCAGTGGGTATTTTGTCTACAATAACCCAGTCCTCTGTGCCCTATATTTGAAATACAAAGGCTAAGTTAGCAATTTTGAAGGTATGTCGTTTCTAAAATACGAATCCTTTAAGGAAGGGGACATAAGAAGGGAGATGTGCTACAGGCGTGGACCACTGCCCCATGCCGCATGCACACATGGACTAACGGAAATTTTTAAAGGGTTACGGCAAGAACCTCAGGGTAGGAGGTCTAAGGCAGGTCTGCACAGGACTGGTGGTTTTATCTAGTAACTATGCAGCCTCTCCTTATTTGAAATTTACTAACTACCGCCTGCAACCTGAAGTTCTTTCTGCAGGGTAGAGCTATAACTTCAGATGCAGATGTTTCTTTAAACTGGAACATATTCTGGTGGTGAATTTTGCAAGGCCTGTCTGTGACCTCAGGGTACACCTCTGATTATTTTGTATTTCAAGATTAGACTGCAGTATTGAAGTTGTACAAGTTATTGAGCTTTACACGTGTGGACCCGGAAGAATAGTTTCCGTGTTAAATACAACGCTATGCTTCATATACTGGTGTTTCCTATACAGAATTTACCACTGTTCTACACACGTCTGGAGAGCCGTCTTCTGTGTTTGTGCACTGCACTTGCATGCTGTGCCCATCATCCCACAAACACCGAGCGTGCCTGAGTGCCAGGCATCCTAAAGAAACCCGCATCCAGAGGACACTGCGGGTCCTCGCGGTTGGTACCTAGCGGCTGGTACCTAGCGGTTCCACACTGAACTGCAACTGAAGCTCCCTTGTACTTTCCTCAGTATTAGATCCAACAACGTAGACGAAGTAAAATTTAAAAAAATTTTTGCACTTAGGGAAACCTAAGATGATGCAATGAGGTAACAGACTAAGGAGGGGACAGAAATCTAAGGGAGCAGGGGAACTCCTTGGTTTTTACATTTTAAACGAGGGTGTCCTCTACTTTCATACTGATCACAGCCTGAAAACTTGAATTGTGATATAAGAGTACCTGAAGAAAAATGATTATAGATCGACCTACATGCTGGACTGGACTCAAATGAATCAAAAAAATAACCCCTAGCACCGATGGGACAGCTTTCTGGAAAATTACTTGATGAGAAGTAGCCACAGAGCCCGCAGAGCCTCCGCCTCCTTCTTCTATTTTCTTTGTCACACTTGGCTATCGACAAAGTCAGTACAAATTCAGAGCTCTCAAAACCAACCACGGGCACCTAAGTTAGCACCACTTTAGGGGTAACAACAGGCGGTAAAATGCTTCACTGAGATTATTTCTATAAAGCACAATCACAGTGCTGCAACCCTAACACAGATAAAATCGAGAAGGCACAGAGAGACAAGACGTAACTATAACATTAGGCAAAGTCTTTTCTCCCTTCCCCAGAACCTAGGCAGAAATGATATACCCACCTTGGCTTTAAACCAGATACATTTCAGAGGAAAATAAAACACGAAAGACACTTTAATAACACGCAACTCGGAAAGAAGAGCTCCTTTTGGGAAATCCTGTGAAGTTTGAATTTTACCTGAGCCTCAAGGAATGCAGAACTTCCTTGCTGCAAAAATATAACTTTTTCAGAAATCTCTCTTTCTTCTTTGGTCTGTTTGAATAGAGGGGGTTGGGTTGGAGAAGAGGAAGTAGACAGTTTCCAAAAAGGCAAGTTAGGAAGAGTCCTTTTATTGTAGTATTTATATATATAACAGATATATTTAGATACGTACACAGTATACCTACATATAGATTCATACCATTCCATACAGTTTTCTTGAAGAAATAAATGATTGCTTACTAACTTGAAAAGTGGTCTGAAACCATCTTGAAAGTTAATTATTCCAAGAGCAACAAGTTATTTTCTGAAACTTGGGTGCTTATATATAAATTGAACATTATTTTTACAATCACAGAACACCCAGCAGTGATTTAAAGGGTCCCTTATGTTTGAACAGTGTGCATCACGGTTACCCAGAGATTGTAAATGTGAATATTAAAAGGAAACATGCAGACCCTTAATTCAAATTTAAGTTACAATCTCATCTTTTTTCTGATAGTGGGTTGTGCTCCTCGCTCACGTGCTACGTGTAACAAGTAGCAAAAACCACACAAAGTTCATGAGCTGTTAAACTGAACAAATCCCTGTTATATATAAATTGATTTCTTTGTTGTTCCACAACTAAAAAATAGTCAAAATTTGAACTTTTGTTTTGTTTGTTGGTGGCACTGGGGATTAAAGCTAGGGCCTTCACACTTAGCCAGTTCCCCAGCCCTTTTTAAAAAAAGTTTTGAGACAAAGTCTCCAAAAGTTGCTAAACTGCTTAGTGAACTTGTGATCCTCCTGCCTCAACCTCTCTGAGTGCTGAGACTATGGGTGAGTTCTCTCACACTTTGCCATGAATAATTTTTATAAGTTACACTCACAATATCTTGGCAGACAATTAAGTAGACCATATTTTTTAGAAATAGTAAACTTTTAATGCTATGAATTATTTTTTTAAATTTTCTGACTTTTATTCCTTTATATTAGGTCAGCACAGTTTAACCTGGGTAACACAGTAGCTATTGAGCCTATCTTTGCACTGACTATCACTCCATAAGCCAAGGACGGATTGGAAAATTAGTCTAAAAATGATTATGGAAAGTCCAAAGCTTCTAGAAGAATATGGGACTCTTTAAGTAAATTATAAACAATATAACTTTATGAGGAATACTGAATATTCCCATTTGTCCACTCATCAGTCCACAAGCGCACAGCGAATCAGTGGCCTGCAAGAGACACTGCGGGGTACGGACAACATTCTCTTTCAGGGCCTGCTGGCAGAGTCTGACAAGCAGTCTCAGATGACCCTTATGAATGACAGATGAATCAATCATTTTCAAAGGGGAAAAAAAATCTCATTCTGCTGCAGTTTTGGAGGAAGATCTTGGAGAAGATAAAATGTGCCATGTGAAATCATTAAATGTGGGTTAAAAAAACCTTTCAATCATAGACTCTTTTCAAACCAAAATGAAAAACAGGAAGAGAAGGTCAAAATTACAGGTACTCTTCAGAATAACACTGCTGGGGCTCTAATTATAATCACTGAGCTAAATACTATTCCTAAAATGAAAACTTAAAAAAAAAAGAAAAAGGAAAAGAAATAGCTCAGCAGCTAAACTGTGGTTTTCAGCATACGCTGCTGTCTGAAACAAACTCATTTTAAAACTATCGGTCTCACCACTGGACATGTCAACATAGGCTATTGTGTATGTCAAAACCAAAACAGGTAATGTAAAGGGACAGGCCTTAGAACTTCACACTAGAGGAGGTCAACTCCCCACCCGCAAGTTCGGCTATTAGAGAAGTGAGGAGGAGCAAACACAGAAGATCTGTGAATCGAAATGCATTTTATCAGAGCTCAGGGTACAGTCAGATGTGCACCGTGACTATCTCATAGTTCCTTAAACATTCATCTCCGTCTGGTACTTGAGAATGAAGTCTAGGCTGGCATACAGAATTCATAACACTGCCCTTTCCTCTTGGGTGATTAGGGGTTTCTAATGAACACTTGGGGGAGTAGGTAAATTTGAGAATACAGAAACCATGAGTAATGGGCAGCCAGCTCCATGATGAACATTCCTGCGATCTACTACTCTCTTGGGAGAGAACAGTGCGAGTACTGCATGTGTCTGATCAAGGCTTGGAGATTTCTAGGAACCAAGTAATCACTAAGTAATGCAATACACCTTTTGTATGGACTGTGCTTGGGGCATCATACAGAGCCATCACAGGACATGCCTGTCACAGACACGTACGTCCCGTGTCCTACCGACCCCTGGTACAGCTGGTGACTCTGCCCGCACATTGCTTTGTCTGTTTTCCAATGTTAACGAGGACTTGATGTTATTTGGGATTTGGGGCATCCTTGGTACTTATCTGCTATTCACTCAGAAGACTGAAAGTTGAAACCACTCACAACCAAATGCTCATTTTATATCGTAAATGCACAGAATTCTCAGAATATAATCATCATTATTTCTGCAACTCAAATTTTCTTCCATTTCTAAATTGATAGTATTTGATAGGAATGACAATTACTTAGGATTCAACCACTATAGATTAAGAAAAACGAAGAAGGAAGACACTCACATTAAAAATCAGAGGTTATTAGACATTTTTTTCAGAATGTTTTATCACTGAGATTTACCAACAGAACAGAACAAGACAAACAAAAAAGCAAACCCCACTAAAGTTGGGGTACTAAGTTTGAGATCACTGAATCTAGTTTTTTCTGGTTCTGGCAAAATACTACTACTTCATTTGAGATATCAATTAAAAAGTTAAATATTTCCATTAGAAATGGCTGGGCTTCTTTACAAACTGGCTGATTACTGTTGCATTAAAGTGGGCCACATTAAATGATAGTAACTGTGACCGTTAAGCTTAGCTGTGAACTTGACTGGCTGGTGGCTGTCTACGGGATCAGGGTAGCACATCTGTGGGTGTGTCCAGTGGCTAGTGGAAGCCTGACCTTCCTCGACTCTTTCTCTTGGGCATTGTTCTCTTGCTCTGCTTCTCAGCCACTGTAAACTACAGCAGCTTTGCTCTCCCAGGTCCTTTTGCCATAATTTCTTGCCTTGGAGCCAACCAACCATGAACTGACTCTCCGGAAACCATGAGCCAAATACACCTCTTCATCTTTAGTTGTTGGAGTTGGGTCCTGTGCCCCAGCAGTGACAAAGTGACCAATACAGGAATATACTTTGAAAACTGCCTCCTACAAAATGTGCTTTGTGTATCTTTAGGGAGGAATATAAAATGATCTTTTATACTTTTCACAAAATAAATAACAGATGCCATCATTTTAATGTGAACGTTGGCAGTAATTCACATCATAAGAACCTCCCAGTTTGTTCTTAAGGCGATCAACAGGGCTGTTCCTGTTTTTGCACTAACAGAAAAAAGCATTCGTGTCAAGGTAAAGTCCTGGACAGTCAAAATATCACCTCCTTCAATCACTGACACTCTTGGGTTTCTCCAATATTATTCTTCCAAGATTCAAGATTTAATCAGAAGCTATAAAAATTTCTGGCATGGGAAGAGTTGCTTGGTGCTTTTTGCTTTTTCTGCTTAAGGTGCTGTTTACTTTGTGTGTTTGTGAATTAAGTCTCTGAAATTTTTAGGGACAGAACATTATTCCCAAAAGAAACAGTGTGAACTGCTCTTGACCATTTTGGCAGTAGTTATGATGGTACAATGGAAAAGTATTTTTGGTGATGCAGGGACTGTTATATTTAAATCACACAAAACATGAAAATTCTGTCTCTTGAAACTCAAGTAATGTAAATGGAACTGGTGTCTAAGAAACAGGGATAGTGGTTAACAGTACTTTTGATTCACTCTGCAACAAAAGAGCCTTTGTGAAGTAATTCAGATGGATATGTGCCTCTTCCCTTCTTGCTGGGATTGGAGTCATCCCAAATGGGGTGACAGGGGATCCTGGCCACTTCTGATAAGCAGCTTTCAAAGAGGTTGTGAAAATGATCCACAATGTGTAACTGGATTCTTGTTACTCCAAAGACTCAGCACTGCATAGAGACCACTGTTTAAAGACTTTTCCTCTCGTAACAGGCCTAAGTTTTAATTTGCCTGTCTGTCTCAGCTTCCTGAACAAACACCTCACAAAGAAGGGATCTTGATATGAAGGACGTTAATCAATACAATGCTTGCAAGATGTACTTTTAAAAGTAACTTCTTTTGAAAGCAAGATAAAGCGAGACTACTCTAATGGCAGACTAGCAGGCTAGCACTGCAGCAATCTGGGGTCTCACACAATGACAGCCACGAAGCCACACTGGCAGGACGCTCCCTGGGGTTGAACAGCTAAAGTGAGCTCCCCCATACTGAAAAATCTTACCTGAAAAGAAATTTTGGTCCCCTCTTGCCCCATTTAAAAAAAAAGCCAAATGAAACAACTAAATATAAGTAAAAATCAAAGAAAACACTATTTTACCTGTAAAATTCTAGTGTAATCTATCAGAGCAAAATGTGTCATAAAATGCTAACTGTATCAGGTCAACAAGATATGATTTCCCTGGCTCTCATCTTGTGACTGCTGAGAAACATGCTTATGTTTTCAGGGCACTCCTCAAAGCATAAAAAGTGGCTTCAGAAAGAGCGTGAATGCACTGAGCTAGTATCTCAGGGTGCCCCAGCTGCGACACGGGGTTAGGATTGGAAGGAGCTCCAGCCCTGGTCTGCCTGTGGTTTCCTGGTCCCTCCTCCTCAGCCGCCTACACACTGTACTCTGCAGCTTTTCTCTGGCGCACTGGGCAGCTCATGGACTACAGTGCCAAGAGGTGAAGCTCTCTACCTGAAGGTTTGCCAAAGTCTTCCCCCGGTCCAACCCCTGTAGAGAGAGATCAGTGAACAGGCGACAGTTCTGACCCGAGCAAAGCCTGCGCACTGACCTCTTCCGGCACGAGAGGCTCGATCATGGGCATGTCTTCCTGCCTGGCCGCCAGCCGTACCGGGGAGGTAGAAAGCCTCTTTTCCCACTCATTCGTTACAGCCGTCTCTGTGGAGGTTTCTAAAAATGTTCTTTTCAGCTCACTAATGTTGGTTTGATGTTTCATCAGTTCATCTTGAGTTTTGTCTAGCTCCTACATTCGGAACATAAAGAATCCAACAGTCAGCTTTTGCATTTGTTTTGCTTTTGCTTTATAAAAACCCAACAACGTCAATCTCATTAGTAGTCAAAAGAAAACAGAATGTTGATCAGGGCTCATGACACGACCACAAACACTCTGGTGAAAATGTGCTATTTCCAGGGAAAAGAGAAAGAAAGGAAGGAAGGAAAAAAAAGTCCAGTTTCACACAGGCATACAAATCAAAAGGACTTGGAAAGGCAAACTGTGAGAAGAGTAGTTCACACGTATGCAGAGAGAATTAGAATAAACACACGAAGGAAAAGGGATCTCAATCTAAGAGAGAAAGGGAGGTCACAGGAAGCGGCAGGGTTGCCCCTCAGTAAAAGGTGGGAACACAGCTCATGCATCACGGTAGAAGGGACACAGCACACAGGCATGCACTGTATGTACCAATACCAACCTCTAACATAAGATTACTATGTTTGACATACACATTTTCACCCTTTATTCGCTTAATCAGACTATTCTGAAAAAAGTGGAGAAGAAAGGGAAAGGTAAGGGCCACTGTCATCGGGGGAAAGAACACCGTCTACACACCACACGTGGACGCGGCGCCAGCGACACAGCATGCCGAGCGGGCTGGACACCGCAGACAAGGACGCATCACGCACTGGTTTGGGATTTGGTTCTATTTTTTTAAAATTTTCTACCTGTGCCTTGGGCTCTGCATCCTCCTCCTGGTCCGACTGCCAGCATCAAGAAAGAGTGGGAAATACAGTCTTACCATCCAGTGTACACTGAGTGGCCGGCCTCGGCCACCATGATCTCTCACACACAAGATCAGAGGAACAAAGGTCCCTCACTCAGTGAGTCTCTGGTGCAGGCCTGGGCAGGTGGCACACAGGGCTTGCCAGGCTGACTTCAGCGAGCGTTAGAGACAGCTCTGGAAGTATGTGGAGCGTGATTCCAGAGACTGGCAACCACTACCTAAGGACAGCACCCTTGTAATGAACGGACTGCCACAAAACTCCAGGGGCCTCAGTCATGACGGCCCGAGTGTGTGGGCCTCTAAGAACTTAACACAGAGGAGCCTGCATTTTAAAATTTCTTTGGAACCTAACGTTTTTGGAACCCATGCACTCAACAAATTTCAGGGGGGAAATGATTGGTGTGGTTTAAGTAAGGAAGACTGAAAAAAGAAAGCAGAAACCAACATAGCATTATCATTTCTTTAAAAAATGACAACAGGGCAGTTTTTGAGTTTTTAAAAGATATGCACAATATAAACAAGCAAGCAAACTAAAAAACAAAAACCTCCCAAAGCCATTTGATTAACCTTATTTTTCCAAGTTTAAGAACATTTCTAGTCTGTGCACCAGTATTTAAGGGCCATCAAGGGATGAGAACCCACAGCACAGAAGTCGGTACAGGGCCGCTGTGTTTCTCTCTGTGCTGGAACCAGAGCCTGGGCGTAGCTCCTGCATTGCCAGTGGGGACCTGGAGTGACATCAGTCTATCTGGGTCTTAGCTTTGTCATTTTCTCACAGGACAAGGACGCTGGCTCTGTGCACCCCACACAACTCTACTACTGTGCTGGCCAGGGCTTCTACTGCAGGGCTACAGGACACCTACACCCTAAGTGCTGGTGCACATTGAATTCTTTAGTGTGCATGAGTGTGTGCGTGTGTATGTGATTTCAGAGTTCTTGCACTGTTTTTTAAGGCTTCAAAAATCTAGTTACATCTACTGGTTTGCATGCCATAAACATTATGTAACCCTTTTAAACTGCTATAGAAACTTCAAGGATTACTATTAGAATATTTGTCACTTGTAGCATATATTAGGACTCTGGTAAAACAGTTACTGAATATATTAACCTGTGGCTCCATGGAATGAATGCTTACAAAAATCAAGGTGTAGTTTGCAGTAGAAAATTATCAACTTGTAGCAAATTTACTTATGATGGCTTAAAAGAATCTGGACAGTGGCTTTTACACTATTACCCTTTACTTTTAAAAATTACTACTTTAACTGGCATTTCCTAAGGAAGACACCTAATGAAACATCATTACGCAGTATCTTTTTATCTGAAGACATTTTCAATGAAGTGATGTATAATAGCACAGAATGTGTACTCATCCCTAAATGCCTAACTAGAACATAGTTATGATTAGATGACGTAAGAAAAGTAGCATATAACTTAGAGTACTAAAAGCATATAACCTAGAGTACTAAATTTGACCAGAATGGTGGGAAATAAACATTTTGATGTGTATTACTATACGTAAATACCTGTTTTTTACAGAAATTTTAATTAGATACTGGTAGGGCAGATTTTATTATTATTGTTACTATTATTATTATTTTGTCTTTTTGAGACAGGGTGTTGCTATGCAGTTCAGGCTGGCCTTGGGCTCACTTTGTAGCCCAGGATGGTCTTGAACTTGCAACCATCCTCCTGCCTCAGTTTCCTAAATGCTGGGATTACACACGAGTGCGCCCGCCACCATGCCTAGTATTAGGGCAGATTTTTAAAATGACATAACACACACACACACACACACACACACACACACACACATCTTGAATGAATAAGGCGGAAATGCTAGCACAGTATCTCTCTGGTTCAATGTACTTGGTCTTTTTCTGTAAACTACGAATAGTAGTATGCTAATTTTTTCTTCCTTAGAGAATTCATTTATGAGTCACTTAGCTAAAGACTGTGAAATGAATTGAGAAGGCAGTATTTTAGCAAGCCTTATTTGACCATTTGGGACTGTATATGCACCTGTGTCTCCCTAACAAGTGAACTAAAGGGACAGCCATTTTGGCGCCCTCAGGGCTTCATACACAAACAGCCTCTCTTTTGAATGATGCGATCTTTTTAAACAGCAGCATGGGTTTGTGCAGGTGGTTCTTAAAGCGTGACCCTAGAGGACCACCAGAGAGCTTGTGAGAAAGATACCCTCAATTCCTGTCCAACCCTCCTGAATGAGACACGCAGGTTTGGGGCCCTTCTAGAGAGTCTGATGCAAGCCAGGGCTTGGGAACTGAGGGTCCAGGCAGTGAAAACCCATCTAGCCTGCTGTGAAATTCAGGAGGGTCCCCGCTGCGGGAGCTCACGGCATCTCTCCAACACAGGACTGCCTGTGAGGCACTGTCCCCAGGTTCAGCCATACACACCTCAGTGGCAGTGGTCTCCCCGTCAGCCGCGGTGTCTGTGCGCTCACTGTCCGTCTGTTGACCACACAAGTGATCAGGTTCCAGGAGGAAGGAAGGCAGGGACAGAAAACAAACCCATCTGGTCAGACAGCAAGCATGCATGAAGAAAGTTCGCTCTATCTGTGGGGTGTGCAGTGCACGACCTCCCTGTGTGGATGCAGTGCCAGCCAAGCAAGCGAAGAGCCTCGCCCAGGAGCACCCGAGGGGCGCGAGGCCTGTGGGGCTGCTGGGAGGGACTGCCTGGCTGCACGGGCCACCCTGCGCTGCCTGGATGCCACTCTGTCACACTGCTCCCACCCTCTCCTCTGACACCCGAGCAAGGCCTAACACAAATCAGACTGAGGTTGGTCCATGGTTTTCATTTTAGCACATTTGAAAGGTAAAGAAAATGTAAATTTCTGTGAAAAGCTACTGTAACAGTCACTGGACTTTCAGCCCCTCATTTATACCGTCTGGATAATTTGCATCCATTTATGACCGCCAGGCTGTCTGCATTACCTGTTAATGACACAAAGCACATGCCAGTGACTCCCAGACACAGGCTGTGGGAAATGCCAACTCAGTTTTCAAGTAGCACGGCAAACAGGGCGCTCTGAAGACTGAAGGCAGTCTATCTGGCCTCCCCTCGGAGGAGGAGGGTTATCAAAGAGTGGATTCAAACCTTGGGTTGCAAAAGTCTCACTCGCATGGTGCAAATAATAGTGACAGTAAAGAAAAAGTGGGAGGGAAAGATGGAGGGACGGAGGGTGGGAGAATGACATCTACTTAGAAACAAAACAAAGCACAGCATTTGCAGAGCCTGGAGTTTCAGGGGAGAATCAGGGTAGCATTTGCATGATTTAAAAAAAAATGTTTCAAAAGGGTTTATAATTTAATAAAAACTACTTCCTCTAGAGTAAGATCATGAAACTGACACTGAAATATAATCTAAACATCCTCAATATTAGCTGATTTCCCGTCTACAGTGTCAACTAATTACTAGTAAGATTTCCTTGATCAAAGATTTATGAAATATAAATATATATACATACACATATATAATTTTTTTTGGTACTGGGGATCAAACCTATGGCCTTAGCACTCAGCCACATCCCAAGGCCTTTTTAAATTTTAAATTTTGAGACAGGGTCTTGTAAGTCACTGACTTGCTCAGACAGAGCTCAAACTTGCACGTCCTGCCTCAGCTCCCCAGGGTGTTATAATTTCAGCCACATACCATCACACCAACTTCAGATTAGTGTTTTGGAAACAAAAATCGGAACTGAGGGTTCTATAGCTGTCCGTCTGCCTCTTAACATCACGGCCTCTTCTCCAGAGCGAGGAGGCGGGGCAGTCTCTATAGCCATCTGTTCCTGGCACGATCACAGGCTTTGGCTTCAGAGATTTCTGGAGGTGGAATCAGACTGCAGCTCGGCAGGCGTGCCTCAGTGGCTGGCATTCTGGCCACCTAGTGACCCAGCTAAGTGGAAGACCATTTTCAGTGGATTCCTCAGGTAGTGTGGCTATTTCTGTGACCTGACTACCTTGGTGAGCAATGGGGCAGGGAGTGGCTGGCAGTTTTCCCGTGTGGCACTCACTCCTGTGGGACCGTTGCAGCTTTGCCACCTGATACTGCCTGAACACGCAGGAGAGAGGGCATCACTGCTCACAGGGCGAGGCTGACCCCAGGACCCTGGGCTTCCCAGATCTGTGATCCTGCTTAGCATCCTTTTTAGTTCCATCAGACACCTAAGGTTTTAGAAGGTTACCACTCTTCCCGTCTAGACTTTTTTTTTGGTACTGGGAATGGAACTCAGACTTGGGCTTTCCAGGCAGGCACTGGCTCCATGCTCGGCCTCCCTTACTGTTTTATAATTCACGTCAGTCACTTAGCTCTAGAGTTCAGTTGTAGATAAGAGAGAGGGTCTGTCGTTGGACTAAAGTGATTGCCACCGAAGCCTGTGACACACTGGGTATATTTGGTATCATAATCCCAGTTTCCCTTTGGAAAATGGGGAAAATCACAGCCTTAGCCATAGTGGGTAAAGGATACTAAGTATTTTATAGAAGGCCTGACACATAGGAGGTTAAAAACTGCTTGTAGTGATCCTAGTCTATTGATCGTAACACATTTTATGTAATTATGACTAGGTAATTTACCTAGGAATACACAAACATCTCTGGCTATATCCAAACGCCTTCAAAAGCTGTACATGGTTGCATGCACCTGAAATGCAAGTTACTGGGGAGGTTGAGGCAGGAGGGTCATGAGTTCAAGGTCGGCTTGGAAAACAAAGAGAAACCTCATCTCAAAAAAAAAAAAATCATCTCTAGCTTCCTGGATTTCCTGCTTAACATTTCGTCAGTCAGCACGTGTAATGCCTGATGAAGTCAATAAACTAAGTAATAAAACTGAATAAAGCAGCTTTTATGGCAACTGTTATTTATATAACGTACTGTGACTATCCAAAACTGCAAAGCAAATAGCATTTTATGAGCTATCACATAATACTGTGTTTATATAGTTTTAAATCAGTTATTTTCTTTATCCAGATTGAACTTGTCTCCTTGTGTTATCAAAAAATCACACAGGAGGGCCTGGAGTGCAGCTCAGTGGCACAGCTGCCTGGTAAATGCAAGGTCATGTGTTCGATTCCCAGTACAAAAAAAAAAAAAATTACACAGGAATTTTTATGTTTACCTAACTTTATGGTACGTTTCCTTATGGATGATTTGATGTTCTGTTCCTTATTTGGCCTTTCTGAAAGCATAAAAGTAAACAAAAAGATTGGCCAACCATGTTACTGTTTGCAGTGATTAAGCCTTTCTACACCGGGATTTCACTCTTAAGAAAGGCTGGGACTGATTAAGCCACTAGAACATGTAAAAAATGTAGAAAGAATTACCATCATTAGTGATTTTGCAAAATGAAAGTGACAGAGATGAATTATGTTACAAAGTCACCCGGTTGAGCTGCCAAAATGCTGCAGGCCTCGAGAAGAAAACCAGCCTTGGGAGCCAATGGCAATTTTTCAAAAACATGGAATGACCTACATAGGAGTTTTCTTCAGCTTAGGCTGAACTGGAACGCACAGCCCCGAGCCTCGGGGGCTAGGAGTTGGCGGGGAACAGATGGCCAAGTACGAAGTCCAGTGTCAGGAGAGCTGGACAACTGAGTGAGGCCACAGTGGTCAGCACTGGGGCCTGGGGTCCCAGCATGTGGTGACAAGGACAGTTAGGACCGGGAGCTCCCGTCCGCCTCCACTAGCAAGGGAGGAGGAACTGCTGTGATTTGTTTTGCTGATGTAATGCAGACATGCCCCAGTTTGACGTCAACTCTCATGCACCCAGAACAACGAGATGTACACCCTGGATTAGGCACAAGATCTGTGTGGCTGGCTGTTAGGAATGGCTGTTAGGAAAGTGCGGTGGCTCCGAATTTAGGAGAGCCCTTTTTATTTTTGGCTTGATGCTAGTAAGCTTGAGGGGAAACTCCGCTCCTCAGTGAGAAACAGATCTGCAGGGTGGGAATGTGTTGTGTATTAGAAGCAGTCTGTGCGCGTATCGCTGGGCTCTCAGTGCTAGCACCTTCCAGGCCTCTCATCTTTGGTAACCCTGCAACTGGGAGAAACAGCGGTATTCACGCTGAAGATTTAAAGTAGTTTGCATTACCTAGGTGTAAAAATGACCTTTCCACGTCTGTGCGTATCTGAGGTAATGGTCACACATAATCGGAGAATGCTGAGAAGCATTCCTATACAATATTGCAATGTCAATTGAGCAGCCTGGGCCAGAGTTGATGAACCTACAGTGTGCGCGCCATGGTGGGCACGCAGAGCCTGTCACCCCAGCACGTGAGCATCAGACACCAGCACGCACAGGGGCAGGGCAGGTGCTATGTGATGGATAAGTGGGTTCTGGGTTGCAGTTTGGGCTCTCGGTCTCTAAAAGGTTTGCTGCCACTGGCCTAGACTTTCGTTTAAGACACATTTGGGACAGTCACCTTCCCCTCCTCTTTGCTGCATGGAAATGGTCACAATACCACTAAAGGCAGGCACCTCAACACCTGCGTAATCCTACTGTCCCAGTGCAGTTCAAACTGACATTCGAGCTGAGATGAGCGTGGGCCTGAACAGACTTTTCTTGTTTAGTGCTGCCCAGACTTTGTGGTATTTTTTAAATGCTAGGAGTATCTGGGCATCCTCTCATTCCTTGTTCTATGGGAACAGGAGAGTGGGGGGAGCCAGGGGAAGGTGTGGGGTAGGGGAGCACGATAGGCAGCACCCCGAGGCGGCTTCTGTTTTGTTCCTGTCCCCTGGCTCTGCCTGCAGCCCAAGGACAAGGGTGCCGCAGCATTGCTCCTGGGCCTGCTGTGCGGTGCAGAAGGGAGGGATTGAAAAGAGGAGATGTGGGCGCTCAGCCCAGCCAGTGCTGGGGTGAGGGCGGGACCCAGACAGGCAGAGATCCTGGGTTCCTGCCCAATGCTGCACCTCCCTGGCTGAGGCCAGAGGCCCAGCCAACTCCCCCATCACCACACTGTCAAAACGTGGGGTGTTTTGGCTCCTACTGGATTTGAAGAATCGCTGCCATCTGACATGGATGAGACCGCAGCTTGTGTCTGTAATGTGGAGAAACCTCACATGGACCTTTTCCTGGTTGCATCGCTGTGGTGCCTACAGTTCTTTCTGGTCCTGTGTCCATCCTACAGAAGACATGTCACGTGGGTGTCTTAAACAGCTGTGGACATCCCTCTGCACCCCATGTGTGATGGACATGCTGCACCTCACTGAGGAGTGGGGACAGGGACTATCACAGGGGGCTGTTGGGGGCTCAGGGTCTCCAGGGCGGAGTCACACTTGCATCTGGGCAAACGATCAGGGCTTGGACACTTCCCCTCTGGCCCAAGTGTTTGCTCGCTTTGCTTCCATCTGACTTCAGCTGGAAGCTCCTCCCTGTATTTTAGTGGATGACCCTCAGCCTGATCATACACAGAACTACTGGGCTGACATTGAGCTCAGGACGAGTCGAGTCCTTCACCCCACAAAGAACTCAACGGGGTGAAGGAGGATTCAAGGTCGGCCTCCGACGGCGACGTCCACATGGTGTTGTGCCTAACCCTGGGCCCGGTCGGATCCCCGCCACACACAACCTCACATGTTGGCACAGACATAAATGAGGCTCTGAAAGTAGGACCACCATGGCAACAGCCAGCTAACACTGTCGGGACTGAAGCACGGAACACGCAGGGGAGAGTGTTCTATGCCGAGGTACACACCTCTTCCTCTGAACTGTCACTCGGGTCATTGTCTAGGGAGGCGCTCAAGGAGGCCGCCTTGGGCTCCAGGTAGCAGAGGCACAGAGCCAGAGGGAAGGAGAGAGTGAGGGCGTAGGGCACTGAGAAGGAGGCGGAGAGCAGGAAGAAGAAGATGAAGAGGAAGCAGGGCACGAGGGAGGGAGAGCGGATCGGGAGGTAATGCTGCAGGCTCTGGGGCAGGAGGTTGGTCTCGGACAGGTTGGGGAAGGAGAGGTACCCGTCGTCATCGAGCAGCGACGGGAAGCACTCCGGGAGCTGCAGGGAGAAGGAGAACAGGGTGGCGCCCTTGCTGGCCGGCGGCCGGAAGTGGAAGACCACATCTGGGTCCCCCAGGCACGCCTTGGCTTGGCCCTGGGCATCCGCCATGGGCTCATTGGGCGCAGGCTCTGCTCGGGGCGCCTCGCAGCCTGGTGCTTTGGGGTCCTTCTCCTTATACCTCCTGCGGAGCTCTGGGGGGGATGCAAGATCGGGATGGGCGGATGGGGGTGACAAGGGACATGAGTCAGTGCCAAGCCCGGGAGGCTGAAGTGAGAAGAGAGAGAGAGAGAGACAGGAAGCAGCAAACAGAGGTGCAAAAGGACAAAAAGAAAACTGCAATTAGTTAACTTTCTTACGGGTATCGATACCAAAATTATAAAACAAGAAAGTTCAGCACTAGGTAGCTCGTGAATTTTAAAGGCGTCAAGGTGCAAGCCAGGGCCCTTCGGGAGGTCTCAGTTCTCCCGAGATGAGAGGGTCTCACACAGGGTGAAGGCATTCTTGGGCAACCCCAATGCCCATGTGTTTCCCAAGATCAAAAACTTCGCTTTAGACCCACACGGCTAGAAAGCTTTAGGGTTCATCAAGCAAACGCAACTCTCTCATAAATGAAAATCAAGACTTTAAATAACATTCTCCCGATCTCTGGGTAATAGATCTGTTATAACACTCCACCCAGCTTAAAACGCAAATCAAATCCAACCCAAATATTAATTAATTTAAAGAGAATTCCAGCACTGTTCTTTTCCTTGGTTGGTCAGTCACATCTAGGAAAGGTGGGTTTTCAAATCACGTTTCTGGCCTCACTCCTATTGGATACACAAGCACAACAGAGAGAAGCAGAATGCGAGTTTTGGAACTCAGGTTCCCACTCAAACTTTTCTTTCATCGCCTTCATCTAAGATGTAAGAGGACCATCAACCACACTAACTAGCAAAAAGAATGTGTTTTCTGCTAACATTGGTTGTGTGTGTTTTAGCAACTATTGTTTGTACCAGACCAATAATAGGAAGATACAATTTTCCAGGCTTCTGATTTTTCTTGACAGTGAAAGGGCACATTGATTCCTCTGCTTTTGCCCGACAGCACCCTGGTGAACTCGAGACGAACCTAGTTCTGTTCTCAGGGCACCTGATGGTCTCTTTGTCCAGAGCTGGTTTCCCCTGCAGTCAGCGAAGGGGCTGCTGGCCTGCAGGACCTGGGCCAAGGCCAGGCCTGGCGAGTTCAAGACTGGGGTGCAGAGCCTCAGGATAATTACACTTCTGCTGCTGCCTGTGGGTGTGTCGAACCATGTGCCTCTGTGCATGCTTGTGTGTGTGTGTGTGTGTGTGTGTGTGTGTGTGTGTGTGTTGCCTAGCAACCCGATGGCATGGAAACTGCCCAGGCTGATTGGTGATGGTTATCTAGTACTGACTGGGAGGGAAGTGGTCATAGAGCAACAGAGGGAAAGGAAACGCACACGTAAAGTTACGCGTGCGGTGTGAGGGAGAGGGCGGGCCAATGAGAGTACATTGAGGATACACCAGGGCTCTTCTCCCTCACACTCACCACTGAATCCTAAACAGCATCGCACAGCTCAGTGTGTCACAGGCCACCTTCTGGGAGGTGACGGCTGGCCTCTGGATGCCTCGACCTGGGGAATTGTTGGTGGAAAAGGTTCCTCCTCAGGAAGCCTGGGGACCCTCTCTTCCTCACTATCTTCAGTAATGCATCTTAATTTTGGTTAAAAAAAAAAAGCAAGCACCCTTGGTGTTAACTTTCTGAAGATGGAAAAGAATAAAATTAACATTTACACTTCTGTGCTACTTGTTACAGCGCTTTTTAAAAGTCAGCTTGGCATCGGGCTGATAAACAGATGGCACCCACTGAGCGCGGGACCCTGGCCGAAGCCCCTGGGACCAGGCTCAGGGCCAGCTTCTCCTCCTCCGACACCGAGGGGGCCCTGCGCCCTGCCTTTTTGTTTTCCCTTGGTATCAGAGAGAGGACATGTGAGTGTTCCCTGTCACCATCACACGGTGGCCTTCTCAATCACATAAAGGAGCTGGCCCTGGCTCTCTCTGGGGAGCAAACTAACGATCATTCACATTTGTGTGTCACTTAATTATATTTACACAGCCGCATGAATCATCTGTTGGTGTGGGCAGCATCCCAAATTCTGTGACAACTGCGCATCAGACTCGTATTTGCATTTCTGGAGCGCTGTTTTCTTTTCACGACCCAGTTAAAACCTGCCTTTAGCTGGACTGAATCGAAGAGGGGAGATGAGAAATTCAGAGCAAAGCACATGTGGACAGCAAGCAATCCAAATATTCCTGCCATCACCTCCTGCCCGAGCTCCTGTTTGGCAAGTAAAGGACCTCTCTCCAAAAAAGCAAACATTAAAAGGATCATGAATGGAGCTATTTCGAATATTGTAACTATGAAAGTTATTTGTTAATCCACCCTATTAAGGTGCTGAGTTAAATGCTTAGTGGAGTAAATATTTTACTATGGAAGTCCAAGTGGTGATTTTCTACCACATACACGTATATTTCAAGAGCCCACATGAAAAAGACCACTTAGGAGTCAATAGTTCTCCCGTTTTAGAATTAGCTGGTAGTTTACATGAGAACTGTTACACTTCTGCATCTCTGCACCCTGCATTATTCAGGACGGCACTGGCTGCCCATTATCATCATCTATAAACCTCTCAAATGTCGACTTTTAAATTGTTTTTCTAAAATGCTGCTTTATGCTGGTGGACACACAAAAACAAAGCTGATGTTTAAAAATAATGTCTAAGAAGAAATTTAGTTTTGTGGGAAACAATGTCACAAAATGGGGTGGGAAAAAAAAAAACCCTGGAGAAACTGCTACAAGGGTACTTTCGTTTTCCCCCAAAGCTACTTTTGCCTTTCACTGCCTCCCTGTGCTTGAGCAACCCTTCAAAACACAGCCATTCGCTCCTTTGCTGATGAGATGACAGAGCCAAGGAGGGCGATGCACGGGCCACGGACCCTCAGCAGGCTCACAGCAGAACAACGGTGGGCGATCACCCTACGGCTAGAAAAACACACTGCACTCACTAGGAGACTGAGGCCAGAAACACAGAAAACAGCTTTGGCGAACTTGTTTTGCAAACCCAACCAAAAGCATGGGTTACACACCCCACGCATCTTAAAGATACATCCGCAGGCCAGCTGTTGAAAGTCTTATGTAGCACATCTCTTATTAAAACCAAAACGTTTCAAAGTTAAGCAGCAGCCCTCAGAGCTAAAACGCCGAGGTGGGAATCGTCCTTGCAAAACTGCCATGAGAGCGCCTCGCGCTGAACACAGGAAACTCCCCGTACCCACACAGCCTCGGAACTCCTGCGCCAGCCAGCCAGCCGCGCTGCCAGCCAGGGGGCTGTACCTTTCCCTCGTGCCGGGTCACGGAGACAGGCGTGGCCTCCTCGGCCTTCCTCCGTCTGTCCTCTTCCTCGTCACGCTCCTCCTCGGCCTTTTTCTCCGGAGTCACAGTGGTGATCAAGTTGCTCTGAGAGATGCCCTTTGTTGTGGCGTACTGGCCAGTACCAACCTCTGCAGCAGACATAGAATCCTTCATGTATATCTCATGGTTTTCATTCACTGATGCTAAAAGCAAATACAATCGGAGAAACATGATCTGAAATAGTGAAGTCAGAAGACACAGCAACAATATCACGGTCCCATTACTGGGTTAAAAACGAAACAAAAGGAAAACAGCACTGCAAAATAAAGGGTTTCTCTTATAAAAAGAAAAGACCGATCTGCTGGGCAGAGGACTCTTCCCCGGAAGCAACACCATAGGCTTGCCTTTTGGTTGTGTGGATGTCAGTGTTGTTAAGGACTGAAGTGCTCAGGTCTCAGAGCGCTGGTGTGTGTGTGGGTGTGGATGTGAGGGTGTGAGAGGGCGGACGCTGGATTCGCTCCAGGAGGTCCTGGCCTGGGCACCAGCTCCCCTTCCTGGCAAGTCTCACAGCACAGAGCAGCCCTTGCAGGAGACAACGGACAGGTCTTTGGAAGTGCTATTGATCAAGAAGCACTGAATCACAGATAGTTTCGTTATTCTTTTTTAATGTTAAAAGTCAACCACTTCTGCAGCATGGAAGCCCTAAGGCTAATAATAAAAGTTAACCACAAGGGGAGAGGCTGTAATGTTCGCACAGCAATCCCATTCAACTGCAGTACAGCAGGGTTTTAGCATCTTTGCTGTTTTAAACAGGCCGCTGTGATGAGACGCATATACATCTGTGCACTTCATTAGCATTTTGGGAAAACAAGGCAAATATTAATAAATGAAATTCACGCAAATGCACAACATGCAAACATCAGAGATATAAGGTACAGACTTCCGTTCCAGCTAAAATGTCTTAGTGAAAGACACACTTAATTCAGTTAAATTTTAAAATCCAGTACTCATTATTTTAGGGTTTGGATATCAGAAAAATTATTAAGATGCATAAATGCAGCTTTATAAACACGCAGCAACTAGTTGCAGACAAAATATGATCTGAATTCCTATTTTTAGAAAAAATTTTTTTTTGTCTTTTTGAGACAAGGTGTCACTATGTAGCTCAGGCTGGCCTTGAACACACCGTGATCCTCCTGCCTCAGCCTCCCGCATGCTAGGATTACAGGGGTATGCCACCATACCTGGCCTATTTTAGGAATTTTAAGAGAGAAATAAAAGGAAGGATTTGGAAATAAAATCCTTCTCAAAATCCTTTTAACAGTTAAACTACTCTTCTAAAATACCTTCACTAAGATATTTCGTATCTTTTCATAATGATGAAAAGCTCAAGGGATAGCTTTGGCTGTTTACATAAGATGCAACTGTGCAAAAAGCAAGCTAAGTGCCAGCATGCGACCTTGTGCCCAGCAAAGCGGCAGCAGGAAAGGCACTGGGTCTGGCAGACCGCAAATTGTTAGGCAACACATGCCACACCAGGTCGGGGCAGGGAGCAAGAGGCACACGGCATTAGTACCCTGACTTCACCATCGTCTTCTGTCTTCTCAGTGGACACTGGCACACAAAAGGTCAGGAGGAAAAACATTCACGACCCGCGTGTCCCCCAGGCAGAGCGGACGGCACAGGGCAAGTGAGGAGTATTCTACCAAAGTAGCTCACACACTGACTCGGGAGGGACAAACAGTTAACGGAGGTTCTTTAAAGGAGGGAAACGGGGTATAAGGAAAGCTGTGTGATGCAGCTGGCTCAGTGATGAACGCAGCTTCAGTCTGATACATACAGGATTTCAGAGAGCTGGCAAACTTTGGTACGCAGGACATTTTAGGAGACACAATGACATTGCATTGCCGGGGTACCCACAAGGGATTGTTTTAGGGGCCCTGTGGGTACCTCATAAAAATGGTGTAGTATTTGCCGATCACCCAAATGCACTTATTTATTATGTTTGTTTATGGAATCGAACCCAGGGCCTTTGCACTGAGCTGCGCCCTCACAGTCCCTTTCTTCTCTTCCTTCCTCTTCCTCCTGCACCACTTTTTCTTATTTCACCTTCTCCTCCTCCTCCTCTTTCTTGCTGAGAATGTATCTCTGAAATTTGGGGACACAGCCTCACCAGGTCGCTCGGCTGCCTAGGCTCCCACCTCCGCCTCCTGGCTGGTCTCCAGCTAACTTGATATCGTCTTAGATTACTTACAGCACCTACCACAATGTAAACAGTATGCAAGTTGCTCTCATACTGTATGGGTTAGGTAATAATGCCAAGGAAAAGACTGCATGTCTGGTATAGATGCAATTTTTAAAAGGAAGTTTCAGTCTGTAATTGGTGAAATTAGCAGATGTGAAACCCAGGGAATCAGCAGGCCAATTGTAATTAATGCTTTAGGCCAGCTAAGAGAAGCCTATAACTACTCATCTGATTACTGGGATATTTATGATTAAATATGGGTATTTATGATTTACATGTGGGCGATCAGCAAGGTAGCCTTCCTCCCATTTTACAGTTGACTAAACTGAGGCCTAGAGAGTTGAAATCATTTTCTCACCAAGACCAGACATAAGAATCAGGATCTGTACTGTGCATGTTCAGTGCTAGCAGAGACTATTCCCATCCCGGGGTTAATAACGTGAGACAGCACTAATAACCCAGTGACAGTGTCTTCTACCAGTATTTGGATTGGTAAATACTATGCTTTTAATCAGAGGGCTCAAGGGGAACCGGGATTGTTTTAGGGCCCCTGTGGATACCTCATAAAAATGGCCACACCCGACTAACCCCCACTAACCACCTTGGAGTAGGGTGAGGGTGGGGGACCACAGCTCTGTAAGGAGCAGCTACAAAAGCAGAGAGTGAGACACAGACAGACCAACCCAGGCACTTGTGATTTTTACTTATTTTTGTGTGATTTTTCTCACTGATTGAAATCACACACACACCAGAGACAACTTCTTTTTTGTGGGGGTACTGGGGATTAAACTCACAACTTGTGCTTGCCAGGCAGGGGCTTACACTGCTGAGCTAAATCCCTGGCCAGTGTATCACAGACTTCTAACTCTTTGTGTGCACAGGATTAGTCTTCAGTAAAACAATAGATCTGTAACTGCTCTGAGCTGGAAGACATTAGCTTGGCCAGCACTTGGTCCCAAGGGTCTCCACCGTCCATAGGCCTCAGACCCAAAGTGCACGTTCACCTGCCCCTGCCCTGCAATGCAGAGCTCAGAGGAGCACCCACCCTCCCCGGCCAGCAAAGATCCTTTCTGCTGCGTACCAGCAGCTGGATGGCAATGGCCACGCTTTATTCCTGAACTGTTTTTAGTAACAGGGATAAACTCGACTTAGCACTTTCTTCCTGAGGCCAACAGGCTGCGACAAACCTGCTAATCATTTAAGATCTACCGGGCCCAAGAGCCTGGTTGTTTACAGGAGATATGATTTCTACACATAGTAGCATGAGAGCGCTTTCTCCAAACTCCGAGCTCGCACAGCTCCCGAAAGCTGCACCCCATACTCCACTGATGGCCTGCCACACACAGGCAGACACAACATTGACAGAGGCATTTTTTTTTAAGAGTTGGGGGCCTTAAAAACCTGCCACCCATCCAAGATCCATGGCTGCTTTTCGTTCCCATTACCCACAAGGTGTGTGTGTAGCGAAGCTTGAGGGCTTTCGCGGCCCTCTGTGCACCCATCGGGGACACCCACCTCCATCCAAGCTTCGTGACATGGTGTAGCGTTTGCTGGACGAGCGCTCGAAGTAGGGCGCCGGGCGGTCTATCAGCGCGCTGGCTCTCCTGGTCTGCGCCTGCGTCCGGCCGCTGTACCGGAACTTGGAGCCCAAGGTGAGGAATTTCTTTGGCGGTGCTTCTGGGAGTAATAGTCTAGAGATATTCAAGAAAGGCACCAACAACATTAAATGTGCAGGAGGCTTCTTAACTTTTTACTGTGTTTTGGATGATGAAAGTTTGACATGCAACTTGTAGGTTAAGTGAATCTGGTTTTGTAAGAAAAAAGTATAAATTCACAAAGTACACACCAACTAGGGGGAATACAGAGAGTGGATGTAAGTAACATTGGGTTTGGCCGGGACTAGGCACACTTCAACGTTCATGCACGTGAAGGGTCCAGGGCTCCATGGGCCCAGAGAGTAATTAAGTAAGAATGAGGGAAGAGGACGGATAATTTGTTGTTTTACAGGCCTCACACAGATCACCCTGGTACAGTATGTGGGTGAGAGCCTGCAATGTTGAGGAATTCCTGAAATAGGAAGGAATGGATGAAGGGGATGCTTCCTAAAAATCCAGAAAATATACTGAGGTCAATAAAGAAATAAGAGGAGCAAGGTAGCTAAGACAAAGGCAGTTCTTCAAATTTATTTATTTATTGGTACTGGGGATCGAACGCACGACCTTATGCAGGCCAGACAGCGCTTGTGCCGCTGAGCTAAATCCCCAGCCCAAGCTCTTCAAATTTAATCAGAAATTCTTCGAGGATTTTTATCAAGCAGTCTAGTGCCGTGACCTTGAGAGACTAGAAAGGGCACATTCCCACATTTGTCCTCCCAACAACCTTTCCCACATATGTGACTGCAATCTCCCAGTTCCTCCTGCTGGGGAGAAATGATCTTTACTTACCTGAAAAACGTGTGATGTTCCACACACACTTTCCACAAACGCTTAGCGGCCCGATGGTTTGGCAGCTTAAATCCAATGGTGCTTTCAAATTGTTCAAACTGAAATAGAAAAAAAACAGATTGAAGAGTCAAGTCTAGAATTACAAATAACAGAAGCTCTGTGAATAATTTTCAGAATCATGCCACCCACAAATGTTTCTTTACTTATTAAATCGTCATATGCAGAATTCACATTACACATATTTGTCCATTAAAAAATAATCCTTTATATTTAAGTCTTTAAAATGCTCCAAGTATAAACGCTACACATGGATTAAAAGTCTTTTGCACAAGTATGAATCTTAGGAAAACTGAACACCCAACACAAGAAACACACAGGATTCCCTGGGCTGACGTCATTTCTAAGTCTCACTTTCATGGTGTCGTAATGACATAATGACTTCACAGAAAGGAGTCCACAGAAAGGAACAAAATGTTTGCAAGTCTAAAGCATACTTAGAAATTACATTTTCTTTTAGTATCTGAGACATGCTCACAGCAGGGTCCCGAGATGACACGCTGGTGATATATATATATAATATATAAAATATATTAATATTTATATATAAAATATATTGATATATTAAATAAAAAATATATAATATATAATTTTTTTCTCTAGGTATTTAATGTCGATGTCATATATGGCTGATATCATTTGTATATTCCTCTTTGTTAAGGTCCCGTCTCTGTAGTGTTAAACATAAGATCAAAGACTAGGAGGAGACATTGTCATATTTTGCAGCCTGTGTGTTTATTTTCAGATGATACTGTCAGTTATTTGATTTTTCGTGATGAGACAGCCTATCTGATTTCTCTGCAGGCATTTAATTTTATTACCAGGAATGCAGAAGTAAGTTTTCAGTTTCTGTAGACAGGACCCAGCGGGCCACCAGAGGGCAATAACCTTAAAGAGTAACAGCGCACCCCAAAGAGCTCAACACACCAGTGGACAGAACCAGCAGCGAAGCCAAGCTGTGTGGCAAAGGACCACGGCTCGGGAGGCAGTCTCACGCCTCCCCCGATTCTCACTTCCACTGACTAGGGCTGGTGGGACCGGGAAATGCACGCTACATTGCTCAAATGGCAGCATCTTCCCCAATTTCTTATTCTCTGGACATACATATGGAGAGGCGACTGCAAAAACTGCTCCTGCCCAAGGGACTGAGTCCAGCCAGGAGCACTGCGGTGCTGTAAGCTACCACGCACCCACTTACACAGCCGGCATCTCCTGCTGGGGGAGACAAGGGGCCCACTGTTTTCTGCTGCAAGAGGCCCAGAAGAGCCTGCCTCACCCTAGTCCACCCTTTTTGCTTTTAATTCTGCAAAATTTTTATTGATGCAAAATGACCAGCACAGCTATTTGGAATACAGTGCAACATTTCACATATATATGAAATGTGCAACCATCAGATCAAAGAAACTGGCCTACCCGCTACCCAAACCTCCATCACTGGTTATGGAAACATTCAAAATCCTCCCTACTAGGCATCGTGAAATATACGACGGATTGCCGTCAACCCCAGTTCCCCTGCCAGCTACAGAACATTCCCCGTCAGTCCTCCCACCCGGCTGCCTCCCTGCCCCTGCTAACCATGTTCTTCTCTCCATCGCTTCTCCTCTTCCCAGCCTCTGCACCCTAACTCCTCTCTTCCTTCTCAGAGAGGCTCTCTAAGGCGAGAGCTGTTTGCTATCAGTTGCTGCACAAGAATCCACCTAGATCCCGGGCTTCCGGAAGGCTCCACTCTCTGTGCTTTGTAGCTATCTGTTCCCTTCAACCTCTTCAGAGCCAGTGGGCCACTGCTAATTCCTTCTCAGCTCATGGTGTAACAGTGGTGGAGGTGCTGGGGGGCACTGCCTTTCTTTGATCCAGCTTCTGCTAGGACAGAGCCTCACCTATCCCTCACATCGAGCTTCAGGAATGGGGCGTCTTCCCCACAATGCCTCTGGCAGGTGCTATTAACAGCTTCCCAAGCTCTCAGGTGTCATCCAGGACCCCACTGTGAGCGTGTCTCAGTTTGTATTCTGTTCTGTAACACCGGACACTGCCAGGCCCTTGCCCTGAACCTTGTCTGTCATCTGACATTCTCTGTCTGTCCCTTTTGTTCTTTCTCTAGTTTTTAAAATTTCCTTCTGTTTCTCTTTTGCCTGCTCCTCTTTTATATAATGGTGTCACCAGAATTTTTATCTTAGGGCCTCCTCTTGTTTTTGTTTTTAATTAGTTTTATGGTACATTTCAGATGTACATAATGATCATATTCATCACATGGAATTGGTACCTGTCACATGATATATTTTGATTCCTCTTTTTTTCCCAATCTACTCTCTTCAAGCCACCTTCCCCTCCCCATTTACAAAGTTTAGGGCCTCTTCTTTAGCTTCCCTTGCTTTTTGGATAGTGTCTAAGGCCTTGAACAAAATTTTGTCTACCATTTTTAAAGGTTTTGAGTCAGGACCTTAAACTGTAGAGTTGCCCAGCCTGGATTCAAACTTCCCATCCTCTTGCTTTAACCGCTCAGAGGGCTGGGACTGTAGGCATACACCACCATACCTGGCTTTCTGAAATTCACCTCTTTTTTTCCGTTGTCTAAGGTCAGCTCCACCAGTCAACTTTATTAGGATTCTCCTGGTCTCTCTGTCTTTTGAGGGATTCGGCTTGTCATGCTAGGGGGCCGGCTCTTCCACTGACGAAGAGCCCAGTCCTGCTAAGCTCTTCCCTTCATCCTGTCTCCATGACCCGCTGGTTCTCCTGGAAAGCGCCCCTCTTCCACCTGCTCCCTCCATTCCAGCTCTGCCCTCTGCCCTGGTTGGTTCTAGGTCTATCACTTTACACCACTAAGAAGTCACATTTCCCATGTGTGTCCTATCCTGACACAACCCCTGCCTTGGCTCCCCGTTGAGTCTTTCTCCAACCTTCCTTTTTAGCCTCTGACACTGCAATCCTCATAGCATCTCATTGGCATCATGGTTCAGTTTTCCCTCGTACAAAAATCTTAAGAGGAAAAAGTTCATGTTCCCAATGCTCATGATAACCGGACACTAGTGCCCGTTTAATAAATGTTCAGTGAACTTACGTGTGTTACAAGCTTAGCACACAATATTTAGAAATATTTTAAAAACATTATAATTTCAGTTATTTACATAGAAAGCCTATAGATTATTTCGATTGTCAGAGACAAATATGACCTGCATTTATCATTATTGCTTGCTTTAGCTGGTTTTGAAAATCGCAGTTCCACCAAGGAACTCCGAGGGAGAGGTCGATACTGAAGCAGGAGATAATGTACCACACCAGAAAATGTTGAGAGTCATAAATGAGGTAGGATCCTTGGTTTTGCCCAGCTCCAGTAGACTATCACACCAATTAGAAATTGGAGGCACTTATTAAACAAATAAAGCAGATTACTACTGGTTCGGTGCAAACCACTAAGGAAGATGTAAATCTAAACTGATTATGGAGACTGCTTCCCAAAGAGTAAGAGTTCGGCAACAATTCTGATTTGTTATTAGCTTTTCTGATTAAAAAATGTAGGAATAAATGAATATATACTGGGCTGTAGACTATGTACATAATTCATACTCAGCATCCTTTATTCTTTTCTCCTTTGTACCCAGAACCACAGTATCACTAAGCCATGCACTTTAGGGTACAGCTAGGTTTGCAGGAAAAATTAAAAAGAGAATGGAGCCTCTAGAAACAGGATGCAAGGGAAGGGATTTATTCTTCACAGCTTGAAATATCCCAAAAATTATTTATGAATCTTGATTTCATATTGAGATATGTTTTTAAAACATCCTTTCAATTAATGCATACAGATGGGAAAAAAACTAGAACAACGTAATAAAACAGTGAACGTGTTATTTATTACTGTTTATTGAGCAAACTTACAACAAATTCTCCCAGGCATGTAGATGTAATTCACCGTCTCATAATGCTCAGAACTTATTAATTCATGTTTCTGTTCACTATTAAGGACCCTGCTTCCTAGTGTACATGCAAATGCAGTCTACTTACCTCCCCCGGCCGAATCTTAATGTAAAAATTGTTCCTTTTGTATGAAATCTTTAGAACCTTGGGCCAGGCAAATCTGTTTATCCGCAGGCGGTCACGATATATCAACAAACCGCTCGCACAAACTCCTAACATGATTTCTACTCCTTCGGAGTCCTAGAAAACAGCAGCAAGAGACAACACATCAGCTTCTCCTTTATTTCTGCTTTTCACTGGGCACAAGATTTAAATCACCTGACAGAACCTATCATTGACTGATTTAAATATGAAAAGCACTACAGCCTTTAAAAACATTACCACTAAAAAGCAGCTGTTTAACAACACTGTATTTCACTCTGGAGACTTGGTGGTGTTGAGTCTACTTGGATTTATGACACCAGCACTGTACACAGTGATGGTCCAGCGGATGACTGCGCTTAACCACCACATCAGCAGCAGCCACAGAGGCCAAGGACTGAGCGACAAGTACTGACCAATGGTCCTGCGTACAGGAGTGCTCACGCCTAGTGCAATGCACAGATGTCAATACAGATACATGCTGTGTATGTGCACAGTTGTGCTTTCGACAGACACTGGGCCATACGTAACTGGGACAGGCTTGAGTTCCTTGTCCATTTTGTCTTCTGATAGTCTGTCCCCATTAAATGCCCTTTCCACTGCAGTCAGGGTGAGAAGAACCTTGAAGGTGGCTTTGCATGAGGTCAAAGGCAGGCAGACTGCTCACCCTGTAAACCCACACCCTGTCTCTGGTGACACCAGTCATGCCCACGACGCTGTGCTCAGGCCCTGAGTCCCTGACTCTGTCACTTCGCCTCAGGCTGGCCCAGGTTTGAGTCACACTGCGCACAAGCAAAACAGAAAGGACCCAACCAGAGAATCCAGGCTGCAGACTCTGCCTCGCTTATCTGGTGGGAAGTGACTTCCCATCTCCTGCCCGTGCAGGGTACAAAGACACTGGTCTACCTCTGGCAAATGTTAAGCTGACCATCAGGATGTAAAATGAAATATCTTACCTTGTCACCCATCTCTCCAAGAGAGACTAAATCACTCCCCCAGAGTGGAACCAAGTCAAGGCAGGATGTAACTATATAATAGACTTAGAGGAGAACAGAAAGACCACAAGCTGCCATCGTCTTTGATGGCTTTGATTTGAAAGAGCAAGTAACGAGCTAAACCTGATGCTCATGAGTCTCTGGTACTCTTGTCTTTGACAAGCAGCCCACCTGCTCCACGGCTAATCAGAGGCGACCACCTGCCACGAGGCAGGCCTGGGGACACCCTGCCCTAGTAACTGCTCTCCTGTGTTACTGTCTTTTGCATACAGAATATAAGTTTAGGAGCTTTGTCTTTGGCTGACAGTGGGAAAGGCCATTTAAAGCTTTTTCATTGTCACACATTTTTAAGTCACTCCTTTGTGTCACAGGGAAACAGTGTCCTTAAATGCTTGGGGAAGATGAGGAAGGCGATGTTACCTCTTCTCTTTGGGGCCCCCAAGATGCGCTTCCATGGGTCCCCAAATCAGTGAGTTATTGCTGGCACAGCCTCAGCAAAGGGTGCCGAAGGAAGGTGCCTGCTCTTCCCGCCTGGAGACTGTTTTATATCTGTGCTCACAGGGCCAGCACAGGGCCTGCCCAGCATGAACCAAGCCGACACTTGTGCCAACGAAAAGGTGAACACCAAGTGAAAAATGGCAGGAATAAGTGGGGTTCTCCATCATGTGAAACTCTTTATTTCATTAATTGCACAAAGACAAAAAAATATGGAATTTTCATTCCAAATTTCCTGCCACAGGCCACAGCGTTTGGCTATTTGGATGAAGCTTTGGTCTTACCAGCCTTCGTTGGGGACGAGGGCATTTCCCAGTCCATGCTGAGGTATATGGCAGACCATCTCAGCCTGTCACGGTGGAAACACAGGGCCACGCTGCCCTTTCCGCCCAGAATCCCCAGGCCAGCACTGCTCTCCTTCAGTGCTGGCTTTGTTCACAGGACACCGGAGAGGGATTTCTTTTTTGTCTACATTGCATAATCTTACTTAAAATAAGTGGCTCTGACAAAGGCTACTAAGACTGACAATAAGTGACACACAAGCTATCATCCTTCTCTAGGAAAAATGAAGCATTCAGAGTATGTTTTCCAAAATGTAGAGGCGACATCTGTTATCGTGCTCCCAAGCTGCTGGTGTCACTGATCCTTGAGATCCAGCCAGTCTGCTAGCAATGCCACTTGGGGGCTGCCACCTCATGCCACAAGCAGGAGAGCGGACACTTATGCTTTATCCAGAGCCGTGGGGTCCAAAACCACAATTCAAGATGTTTAAATGGATGATAAAGCTCTGGGACTTTCTTCCCAGCCATAGAGGAGCAGCATCTCCTTTATAACCGGAAATTAGCTCTAACTTAATTCAGTAAATTTCCTCCTTGAAATGATGGAGCGTGGCTTCCTGAGAAAATGGAGTCTATAACAAGAGCATTTGTTATACTTAATATTCAGATAAAACCCTGAACAGGCTGCAGTTGCATTTCCTTAATTCTCTGTCTCTTTAATTGGCATCATTTCAAATCATATTACTGAAAGAAAAAGCAGCCATCTATTCCAACTCAATAGTTCCAGCAACGACGAAAGACTTTATTTTTACTGATAGGAACATGGATACATCCCAGGTTGCACTTCCCTGAATGTATGCCCTAATCCTTTATTTATTGATTGCTGACTGATTTGTCTAGACAGTAAATGGATCAAAGTATATGATGTCACCTCAAAACAGTCTTAGATTTGCTCAAATTCTCACGTTAATTTCATTTTTTCCCCCTCGTCTCATCATGTAGCCACCTAGGTTAAAAACACTAAGAGAAATAAAATAAATCCAGGGCCTGGATCGGGTTTTTTAGATTGAAATCCCTTCTCTAACTTAAAATTGGCAAAAATGACAAAACACCTTTGTTAGCTGAGTGTGAAGGAAGGGAAAGGCACAGTAATGAGCTGGCCAGTAAACGAAGCTACACCTGCTGTGGTAATTACACACCAATGGCAGCATGCTTGACATCCCTGGCGGAAGCCACAAGCAGGTCTCAGAGCCAGTGCTGGCTCCCCTGCCCTGCAGAGCCCGTCCTTTCTGGCGGAGGAGGCTCCACTAACATCACAACCCAACCCCGTGGGCTCCATGCCCACTGGCTTTCTGTCCAAACTCACTGCGGGCAGGTTTGCTCCCCAAATGGCAACCAAACAACAGCCCCACTTCCACCAGCCACCGAGCTGACACATCAGATTTCCTTCTCTCTGGTTATCAGGGCTGTTCAGATGTTCGCCCGGGCACAGCCAGCCGGAAGTTGCTTAGTTTCGAGACCCTGAACCAGACTGTAAGACGCCGCTTGCCTGGAAGCCTCTAATCGCACATTCTCTGTGAGTCCCAGACTGTGAAACTATCTATCAGAGGCTGAATCTGCTCCCCACAAAGGCGCAGTATTATCCTGTCAGCCAGCATCAGAAGAACCAAGCCCTGAACTTTGGGGAGGGACCTCTGAACACTGCTGCACTACCGAATCCAACTCTACAATCCTCAACAAGCCAATTTTCCTGATAAATGTTTTTACAAAAGCTTCCTGCACTACCACAGTGCTTTTGTTCACGGCTGTTTACGGAGTGGACCAGTAGTCTACAGGCACATTCTCTCACTGTTGAAAAACACAGAGACGCTAGCAAAAGCCTGGTGTGGGCTCCAAGCTGATCTCTATCCCTCACACGGGACCCCCCGCCACAGCTCAACACCTGCTTCCTTTTGTCCACGATACACCTCTCACCTTACATCCATTTCCAGTTAGCCACATCACAGTGGCCTGGAGGGCTAATTTAGCTGGACTTTAAAAAAAATCTTATCTGCAAGTATAGTTTAAATGGCACAGCGTTTGAACCTTAGAGACAAGAGATATTTAAACGTAACATGGACTTATGACTACCTGGTTGGGGTCCAGGACTGGGGCATACATAGTAGTTGGCATGTAACAGATGTGACACTTGGGGCTTAAACCAAGTTTACGCTGTAACACGGACAGGAAGGAACCTGGCGGTCCAGATAAAAGAAGGGCATATTTTAGAGAAAAGGCGAGACAGTGCTTGGTGGTAGCAAAGAGCACTTCACTTGGTGGCTTCTGCAACCTGCAACCAGGAGGGCAGGTGAGCCAGGAGCTTGTGTGGCCAAGGGATATTTCCAACTGGCAACCTGAAGTTTTGCCTACCATGGGCTTCATGGTCCTAGGCCAGGAGTAATGAAAGTATAAAGATTTACATCTAGATGTCCCTCCAAAGCCTCACGAGCTTGCAAGTGGGCTGTGGGAAGGCAATGGATTACTGGGTGAGACAGTCATCGGTGGATGCTGGGAACAGGTGAGTCACTAGGGCGAGTGCAGGAAGGGTCTATGTCCCTCCTCCCTAATCTCTCCCCGCTGCATGGACTGTTTCTGCTCTGTGTTGCCCTCTGCTGTGCCACCCTGTCTGAGAGCCAGTGACCAGGGTCTGAATCTCTACAAACTGGGAACTAAAACAAACCTTTCCTCCTTTAACTTGTGGGAGTCAGGCATTATGTCTGGGTGAGGAGAAAGTAACTAAGACAGTCTCAGCCACAAAGACCAATCTTTGGTGAATGTCAGAGCTAAGTCATTTTGTCATAGGATAAGGACTAAACGGCAAACACAGACTGAATCTTCCAAGATTCTGTTTATGCTGATGGATGTGAAAATTGCCAGCTTACAGAAATAACAGCATGGAATTAGAGAATCTAGAGTTTGAAGAGGCATACCTTGGCATGATGTAAATCTACCCCATACATGGAGAGTTTTTTGGCGTTTTCCAGGAAATGCATTTCTGCTTCTGCTGGAGTCATTCCTCTGATTGGGAAAAAAATAAAACCTGTGTTATAAGGCCGGTTTCCCTGCTTATCTCTTAGAATTAGAAATTAAAAAGCAATTAGCTGCTTTTCCTTTGTCTGGTGGGGCTGCTTAGTTTTCTTTGCTATCTTATAAAAAAAAAAAAACCAACATGGGCAGACTCTGGGTGAACACCGCCAATCAAAATTAAAAACCTGAAGTGCTCCAAAAGATGAGCTTCTAAAGCAGCAACACCAGAAGGGGAAATTCCACACTTGACCTCACATGAAGGGCAGCAATCAAAGCATAGGAACTCTAAGAATACTGTGCAAAATTACCATCAGGCTGTGTGCATAAAAAGCATATGAAACATAAATACATTTCGTGGTTAGATTTGGGTTCCCTTTCTCAAGCTATTTCATTGTTTACAGGTAAATATTCCAAAGTCTGAAATATGTCAAACTGAAATACTCACGGTCTGTTTTAGTTTGCACCCCCCCAAAGCCTCATGCTGTCATGGGGGAGCCTTTGGAAGGAGGCTGAGTCTAGTGCTTGTGTTGTCTAGCGCTGGAGTTGGTGGTGTAGCTGCTGCACCCACCCAGGGGCAGGGAGCTGGCATACAATATAGGAGGCAGCAAGGCGTGCTCTTCCTTTTTTGCTCTTGTGGCCTTTGGTACATGCCACTGCCATGAATGACTGCCCCGGGGCCACACTCCCCTGCCTTGGAGCCAGCTAATTGAGGACTGAAACCTCCACGAACTATGAGCTAAATAAACCTTTGTTTCCTTCCTTAATTTTGGGTGTTGGGTACCTTGTCTTAGCAAGGATGGAAAAGTAACCAAGACAAGGTCTAAGCATTTTGGATAAGGGATGCTGCTCAAGCTGTACGTAAGAAAAGTGAAAAAAAAACTTATGATTTTGAGGGATAACACCTTCAAAATGGGAAACGGTAAAAGGACATGGCTGTTCTGAGCAGGAGGTCCTGCACTCTAGAGCTTCCCTAGCATGACTGTCCCTGCACTAACACCTGTCTCCTTAAAATGCCCAGAGACAGCTGTAGAAGTGTCTTCCCACTCCACAATGCACAGGATAAAGTCAGGATGAAGTCAGCGTCATCCACCAACCTGTGGCTCTTGTGAAGCTCGATCACCTTGTCCTCTAGCTCCTTGGTGTGGTTCGGGGCAAAGCGGAACTCGCTGATGTAATCACTCCCACACTCGTCTGGGTCGTAGTCACCAAGTTCTGACTGGACCGTGTAGGAGCCCAGCAGGGCCAGGGTCACGAACGAGCAGGGCAGCCGGCCCGACACGATATCATCGCGCAGTTGTAGGCAGAGGTAGTACCTTCAGGACGAGGTCAGCGTGAGACACACGGTGGGGGGACAGCATCGCTGTCCTGGGACTTCTCTGGGACACATTCTCTCACCTCTACCCATGCTGATGCTGGTTTCATCTATGACTGACCTAGATCCCAAGGGAAAATCCTAGGCTACAAAAGATATTTCAGGACGCCTAGATAAAGCCTGCATTCATAATCAAATAGGATTTTATTAGTAATTCACCGAGCCAAGGAAATCTAAATATGTGTTTTCCTAACATCTTGTTTTTTTTTTTGATGACAGGCTTCCTCCAGGACCAAGCCAGACTTCACACAACACCAGCTGTGCCTTCTAGGAGACCTTGCTGGAGTTTATACTAACTCGAAAGCACTATGACCTTAAAATCTGAGAATCTTGTCACTATAAAAGAAGTACAAAACGTTTTTCACGTAATTTGGCCATCATTAATAGCTGATTTGTGTTCTCTGTTGTTTTAAGATTTACATATTATGATTTAACCATCTGCAAAAGACTTCACAGCTGCGGGTTAACACTGCTGAGTTTTAATAATTCCTATTACCTACCTTTCACATAAGCAATGAACTGTTATTCTGTTGGAGGGATGACTTTGGTCAAGTCTTAATAGTCCCTCTTAGTATAAGTAAAATCCATGTAACTCAGACATTAAAATTCTGAAACACTTAACAGTCTTTCCAAACACTGCACACATAGAAGCCAAGCACTAATGTTTCAAATCTAGGTATACATATAGGCTCCACAACCACAAATTAGCCACCATTAACTAGTTCTTTAATACTAACTAAAAAGTATCTTTATAGACACTTTATTTATAATTGCCTCTGATTTATTGCAAGTACAAAAAAATCTAAACAGATAATAAACTGTTACCCTATTCCTAATACGTCTGGTGAAATTGTTTTTAACCAAAACCATTAAATTAACCTGTTTTGAATGATTTTCCTTTGATAACACCCCCTCCAGGAAGGTGTGAGGCTTATGTAGAAAATTCTGTGCACCCAGAACAAAGTCATTTTGTCTGGTCAAACACTTATGACCAAACAGAGTGAGAGCAGGGGTTCCCACAGAATGCGGGGGATTCCAGGAGGACTGGTAGAGAATCAAGGGTTAGGGCTGCACACTTGCACCTGGTGGGTCTCTAACTCTTGTGTGGCCATCTATCTCCAAGATGCTGGATTAGGAGGCAGGGTCTTTGGGCAGTGACTGGGTCAGGAGGGTCACGTCTTCACAAATGAGGGTAGTGCCAGGGTAGAGGGGGCCAGAAGGAGACCCTTCACTGCTTCCGCCACAGGAGGACACAGAGAATAAGAAATTAGGAGCCTGCCACCCAGCAGCAGACCCCTGCAGGAGTGCAACCCTGACCTTGAGCTTCTGGCCTTGAAAACTGTAAGCAATAGATTTCCATTGTTGATGAACCTGCCAGGCCATGGTATGTGGTGACAGTAACCTGAACAGACCACACCACCCAAAGCTGCTTCTAGGGGGAGTCCTTTTCACTCTCAGCTCAGCCACCAGGCTGGAGTTGCTTTATGTTAGAATCTTTTCTTGATGTCTTTCTAGAAAACAAAGAATCATTTTGCTTGTACATGTAAGGTCCAGAAAGCAAACTCTCAGCTTTGTGTGCATGTCTTTCTATCTCTGTGTGTGTGTGTTTAAACAGCTGTGAAGTATCAGGATGGTTACATCCAGAGCGTAAGCATCTAAAGACTTTTTTTTACTGTAAAGCAGCACTAAGAATGGCGACAGCATTAAAGGCTGAATCCCATCCAATTTTGCTGCGGTGGGTGGATGACAGCCTCTCATTTCTGCGTGTTTCCCCACCAGGGTCAGGCAAACGGGAGTAGCAGGCTAGCACCAAAGATTCAACTGTTAACAGATGGGATTTGGCAAAACTTCTCATCAGATGCGCACACTCATCAATTGCCTTTTCCTTGCCATGCGAGCTCCGGTGATTATCAGTCCACGTGTCCCTGCAGCCCCAGAGAGACTCATGGCTCTCCTGGGGTGTCTGTCCTGCCCACACTGCCATCAAATACCTGGTTATATCTTCAGATAGCTGGGAAGGGTCCGGTGGGTAAAATTTCACATTAAATGAAAAGTGCCAAGCACCGCCTGGAGGGATAGGAAAACAAATCAGAGTTAAACCTTAGAAAACTCACTTCGGATTTTCACTGATTGCTGGAAGGACCCCGACTGCAAGCACTAACACTCGGGCAATTCTGGTCACTAATGGAAAACAAGGGAGTCTTTGTGAAATGAAGCCTGTAGATAAGTCCGAAACCTCATCTAATTTCTAATCTTGTTCTCCATCAGATCCTCTACTGGCACTTTTAACTAGCAAGGCAATTAACCAAACTTCCTCCCATTCTCAGGATCAAAGATAAGCCTCTGGAAGAAGGAAAAAAAGGAAATGATATGGATAATCCTCCATCAGATAAGTCTGGAATTGACTGATTTATTGCTGTAAATTTCTGGGCGGCTCACTTAACGACAGTACAGACATAATTCCCGTTTTCTTTGTCCTCTTCTACTTTGTTATTATAGGTCAAGTTCCATTATAATAAATGTCAAGGGACTGGCCAACATGGTTTTATTTTATGGGAAGGGTTTGTTGTAGTATAATGCTTTAATAACAGGGCTGCTCGGCTGGCTGCTGAAATGTCTTTGTTCACTCAGGGAACTTTCAGACCAATAGACACCGGACTTACTTCCTGTGCGTTACCCATTCTGTGCCTCCATAGCCCATGATTGGATGGATCTTCTTCAACTGTGGCATCTATTTAATGTCATGGCAGCAATGAAAAGGTCAGCCAGATGCGGTTCACAGAGGCCTACTCCGCCCTGTGCACGCACGTCTGCACACAGCCTTACCCAGCTCCGTGGCTCATGAACGCCACCTCTGCTGGGATGATTTACCAATGCACACATGCAAAATGCCTCCTTTTGTACATATATTACATCTCTGTGGTGTCTCTTTCATTTATTCATCTTGTTTTCTCCTTTTGCCTTTTAAATACAGTCATTTATCAAGATATGAGTATTCCTTCCAACTCTTAGGGTTGACCCCACCCTATAAGCACATTGAAGTTCCTTTACCTCAGGTCTGGTTCTAAATGACATCACGGAAGCTCATCCCAGGCCTCCCTAGAAGCCTTCCGATCATGCTGTGAGCTGACACAGCACCCTGTATGCCTTAAATGATCTCCTAAGACATCCATTCGCACCCTCCCCCACGAGTGACTTCTGTAAACTCCACTTTCTCCACGAGCCCTGCAGTGCTCCATGTATCAGCTCGTCTCCTGCACTGTTCTCTTCCATACATCACAATACTGAGTGCCACCAGTTTCCTGCATTTCTGCCTAAATCTTTGAATTCCTTCCAGTTTATTTCTAACGCTATCCTGCATATCACACTGAAGGTTCCACATGCTGAGTATCTTACTCAAGTCCCATAAGGGATTTAGCCCAGGACTACATATTACTGGCTATTTGGTATCATTTTTAAGTGTCATTGGAACATAGGCTGAAAATCTTCTAAGACATAAAACCTTTGTCCATCAAATACATGCCTAATGATTGTTTTTCCACTGTTCTCCAAAAAGTCCTTACGTCATTCTAAAAATAGTCTAATTTGCTTTTCCTTTCCTATTGATTCCTGCTCACTTTCCAGTGAACTAGATCCCTTCAATGTGTGCCAATAATAAGGCTCCTAATGAGAGATGGCTTCTCCCCCAAACAAGTGGAATTAAAAATGGATTAGTTATGGGAAATGGATTCACTGCTCTTTTGTAATTTTCATCCACTTCAAAGTATGCCTTGATTCCAGAGAATCATCTGGCAATGAATTGAACAATCTTATAATAAACTCAGGGTGAAAATTCTCCATTGGAAACAAATAATGAAAATATGAGCAATGTATTTCAATGCAAAAATCCTCATTCTAGAAAAGCAAGTTGCAAACTACAATGGGTCTAAGAGGTATCTGAAGTGCATGTGAAAAATGCCAGTTCCTAGGCTCCACCTCAAGGATTTTAGTCCTAGGAACCAGAAGAGGGTACAGATTGTGGTTTCAGTAAGCTCCCTTGTGGTTCTAGTACAGGAGGGCTTTGGAACCACAGTGAAATCACTGTGACTAAGAACTCAGCATTCTGAAGGCTATAAATTGAAAGTTACAAGGGCTTTCAGGACATTATTTTGAAACAACAATGCAGTTTATGGAGACTACAATACAACCAACGTCCTAACCAAGGGGGCCAGTGCCAGCAAAGCAAAACACAGTGGTACACATCTGTAATTGCAGCACGCTGGGAGGCTGAGGCAAGAGGATGGCAAGTCTGAGCCCAGTATGAGCAACTTAGTGAGACCCCATCTTAAAGTAAGACATTTTTTTAAAAGGGATGGGAAATGTAGCTCAGTGTGAAGGCAGCCCTGGATTCAATATCCTGCACTAGAAAAACAAAACAAAACACTTCTCAGTGAAATGAAGCATAAAACCAAAAATTAATGAACAGGCTGCTTCAAGATTGAGTTTCCAGTCAAGAAGAGTGGAGATAAATCAATTGGGAGAACCTGCTCAAGCGTGAGTGAGCTCCAGGCCTGCCCTGCTCAGACGTGGGTCCAGCCAGACTAGAACACGAACCAGTTTGGACACATGAAAATGTGTATTGCTGTAATGCTGGTGGAGGATTTTGAATTACAAATTTATGATAAACACAAGACTGTGGCACTGAATGAAGTTTATTCTTGTGAGAACTTTCTAATGCCAAATCTTAAGATTTCCCAACAGACTGCACTGATGTCATAAAACCACTATAAATCATATATTCCATATCCTAAATATAACTATATTTACAATCATACAATCAAGGTATTTAGGTGCTTTGTTTTAGATATGGTTGTACCATGCAGGCCTAGTTAGTTCCTACGAACAAATTCTTCAATTTCAGAATCTACTGTGTGCCATAAATTTGTAATTTAAAATGTTCATTCATGGGCGTGGTCTCCACCACAGACCGACCACATCCTCCAGGCCAGGCTGCAGACTCCATAGGAAAGCAGCCTTTCTTCATCTAGCTTGGAAAGAGGAGGCAACAGAAACAAGTCTGTGAGATCTGACTACTCTGCTTTGTTAGGATTAAACTTTGTGCAAAGAGGCAATTTAGTGGATAGTGAACTACAAGGAATACAGACAAAAACACCCAAATATTCTTTTAAAATAATTCCAACTTTCCTTGTCACCCTCCCTGTAAGACTGCCTCATTGGTGGGATGGATGCATCCTGTAAGCCTCATACTTTCTGGGTTGAGCTTTGATGTCCCCCCAAAGCCTCATGTGGTCATGGGGGTGGGCATCGAGTTTGTGAGTGATTTGTGGTCCAGTGCTGGGATTATGGGTGTGGCCTGCACACAATACAGGAGACAGAAAGAGTCTTCTCCCCATGCTCCTCCCCTTTTGCTCTTGTGTTTCTGCTGTTTTCCACCACCATGAACTGCTGCCCTCTGCCATGAGCCACTCTGCTTTGAAGCCAGCCAAGTACAGACTGAAACTTCCACAAAATGGGAGCTAAGTAAATTTTTCCTTCCCTAATTTTGGATATCAAGTATTTTGTCCCAGCAATGAGAGAAAAGTAACCAAGACACTCTGAGGATGGAGGGAAAATGATATATATTTAGCATATCTGCTTTTTGTAACTCCACGAAAAGATCAGTATATTCTTCACCTTAATTTGTTGTTTATTAGGATTCCTTGGAATGAGAATAAAGAGTTTTCATCTATTTATCACAACTGTGGCCATTCCTGCTTTCGGCCTTAACTACAAACTAATTCATTACCAAGTTTCTAGTTAGTAGATACCTCAAATTTCTCTAGAAAATATGACATATGATGTCATTTGTATAAATAATCAGCAAAGTCTCTAATATCTGGAAGTATGGTGACTAAGAAAGTGTTATCTCATATTAAACCATTTCAAACTACTTATCAGCAGTTACAATTTGTTAATACTTAGGGTATTCTTCTATCTCATAACTTACACAGGTACTAAGAAGTATTTATTCTTTCTTAATAGTAAACTATGTGAAAACTTGATTGAGAATAATGTTTTCATTAATACACTGGTCTGAAATTTATCCTGCAAAAAGTTAGGTGTATAGGAGAACTGATCTAGGTTTTCTTGACAAAATATAAATTAAAAAACATAATCAGCTATTCAAGATTATATACACATGTGATGAGTTAAAGAGACGTATAAAAGATAAAAATAAAAACCTCCTCCTTTTCAATCCCCGACTGCAAGCCCCATCTGGAGATGATTACTGCTAATATCTTTCACTGCTCCCCACAGGTTTTCCATGCGACTATGTACACATAACTTTTTAAAAACATCTGTGATAGACATTATTTTGCAACCTGGTTTTCACAAGAGCTAAGCCCTATTTCTAGGGTTTTTCAGAGCCTGATTTCACTATTTCCTTACAAACAGGTATTTAGGTGCCTTCTAGTTTTCTGCTCTTGCAAACAGTATTATAAATGAGCTTTCATGTACATTATTAACACATGCAGATTTTTTTTTCTCTAATACACACACTGGGTAGATTTCTTCAAGTAAATCTAAAAGTCCAACAGCAAGTACAATTTAATAAATACTACAAGCTGCCCTCTTTTTGCGACAATTTATACTGCTGTTAACTGGGCTCATACCTGCCAGTGAAGTTTATTATTAAATTTGTTAAACTTTTCAAGTCTTGGCTGATCTGAAGCGGTCAGAAGTGATCTCTTTTCTGCCCCTTCATCCCTTTCTTAACTTTTTTTTCCTTTTTCCTTTATGATGCCAGAGTTTCTGTTGTTTTTTCTTCTGTTTTTTTTTTCCTCCCTATCTTTCTTCTTTTTTTCCTTTTTCTTTTTTTTCCTTACCAGTTGGAGACTGAACCCAGAGGCCCCAGCACGACAGGCAACTGCTCTACAACTGAGCCATAATGCAGCTCAAGATACTTCCTTTTAACCTGCATTAGGTGTTTTAACCTATTTAGCTACTCTGTGTGTGTGACAGGGTCTCACTGCATAGCTCACCAGGCTTGCAAGGACCATCTTCTCTCTGCCTCCCCCACAACCGCTGGGATTACAGGTGTGCACCACCACACCCAGCTTTACTAGCTACTTTTATTCCAATTTTTGAGATGCTCATGGAATTTTTCCTGGTCCCTTAGGAAACATACATTTCTTTACTTATCTGCAGGGACCAAGAAAAGAGACAATAACTTCAGTTTTATTTGTTATTCCATGTTTTAAAACTATCATGTGGCCACTACTTTTGGGTTGGCTTTCATATGTTTGTGGCAGTTAGGCTTAATACAATATTAAGTTTGGAACTCTAAATGATTAACAATTGGTACATCACTAAAGACACATTTCACTTTGATGTAGGGGAAGAAAACTAGTCAGGTGCCAAGGTCATTTGGATTTCTGAGCTGTGATGACAGAAAATGGGTCCTGCCGGAGCTGGACCAATGCACTCGGTCAAATGTGAGCTTGGACTCTGTCTTTTGCGAAATGATTCACATCACCCTCTTGGATGTCAGCCTCATAGCTTTGTTCTCTAAAAATCTTCACCTTATGTAATAAAATAATCTGGAAGAACTTACTTCGAATCTGTTTTTTAATTTCCTTAGCAGGGTCCAGCCAATTCTGAAAAGGAAATGACATTTTGAAATTGAATCACAGGAGAATAAAAATGGCTTAATGGTTGGAATTTGACAAGCCCTCAAGGCTCCGGGGAAGGCGATCACGGGAGGTCTCCTCTTCATCAAGGTCCCCCCACCCCTGACCCCTGCTGCTGGTGGCTCCCAGCCAGGCCCTGCCGGGGCTCTGAGGTGGACCCCATGAGAAGAGGTATGCACGGACAGTTCCTGTCCCCCAGAATTCTTTTTTCTTTCTTTCAGCCACCGTTTTAGGGATTTGAGCTAACATGGAAGCAGAAGGGACATGATAGAAGCCTCCACGTTTAAACAGATGCCTAGAATACAGATTCATGTGACCAGACATATGGCTTCAGCCATTCATTGCCATGTGACTGACATCTGTGTTCACAGATTGCTGGCATCTACCTGAGAATTTCCTAATGAATGGAATGTTTGCTTGAGCATGTTCCTCACTGGACAATTTTGATGTGTAATAATGAAATTAGACATTGCCTCATAACTTCACAAGCACAACACCAAAGTAACATCTATCAACAAAGCTTTCACAACTCAGTGTTCCGCATCCATGCAATGCACACAGTTCCTCTATTTTTATTCCTGCAGGGAGTGGCGGGGTAGCGGTGAATAGAAGGCATGGCTGGGCTGGATGGGTCTACAGAGGCACTGCCTCGCACCCGGAACACTGACAGAAGGCTCTGGACAGGAATGAGGCCAGCCAACACCTGAAGTGAGGAAGTGAAAGCAGAAAATGAGTTAAGATGTGGACCAGAGTCCCGAACGTGAGCAGCCCTGGCCGCTATGCTGCGACTCTGGCATCTTCCTGGAGTGCTGGGAAAGGGCCATGAGCAGCACAGAGGGTCTGAGTCTCAGGGTAGCGTGAAGGGCGGAAGGGACAGCAGGACCCCTCCCTGTCCTGGCTGCAGCTTCCCCATGCATGGCCTCTGCACGCTCACCTTCTGGTTCTCGGCGTCGCGGTACGTGAGGCCGAAGTAGTCCTTCTCCAGCAGGTTCAGGTGCTCGCACACTTTGTCAAACAGCACTTGCCCTCTGGAGCGTTTCTAGGGAAACAGAACGGAGGAGTCACCGAGCAGCCCCCAAGACAGCCAGGCATGCACCTGGGAGAAGCTCACACCACCGCTGGCCTCAGCAGTTCAGTAAGTGACAGGCGCCAGTCCTTTCATCTCAGAGCACAGAGGCTCCACACGAGGTCCTCAGGCTGCAAAAGCCCCACCCTGCAATCAGCGAATGACACCAGGGTCGGCAGTGCCGCTGTGCTGAGCTGGTGACACGGGTGATTCCTGAGCAGCCAGGGAAAGCAATGTGATGCTCGGATGCCTGGACTCTTGTGTGACAAAAATATCCTGACACTAAAAAGGGGCATGCAGGGTCACAACAGCCATGGATCTGGATGCCCTTGCTCAGCTCCCAGAGTTGTAAGATTCTGACCCGGGCTTCATCACATGCAGACTCTGGATGACAAGTTCCCAAGCCAGGCTTTTCCTGGAAACTCCAGGGACATTTTCTAAAACCCATTAAACTAACTTCATTCTGGGTGTTGGTGGTTTTGCATGAATTTCAGTCCTGTATTGCGGTTTCCAAATTTCTCTTAATCTTTGAGAATAAGCATTTTTGTCTCCCAGAGCCTTTATTCTCTATCTCCAGCCCTTTTTGTTTTTGTTTTAATTTCAGACAAGGTCTTGAGGAGTCACTCAGCTGAGTCACCAGCGTGGGCTTGAGGTTGCAATCTTCCTGCCTCAAGTCTCCCAGAATGTGCTAAAACAAATCTTATTAAACATAACAAACATGAAACTGAATGGTTTTAATTACATTGTAAACATAAAATGCAGATGATCTGCTATATTTTGGATCATCAAGAAGTCACCTGGAGAAAGGGGAAATGGGGCTTATCTGGGGGGAAAAAATCCATCTGCTTAAATTATTTTGATACATGTCACCACAGTTTCAAGCAATGCCTTGAAGTTCTTCAAACATGGCTTTGAATCTGCCATAGATAAACTGGCAACAATTAAACTAAACTGCTTTTTTGTTTGAGTGGCCCTAGTATTTTATGTCTAATACATTGAGCATATTTGTCTTTAAGATTTAATGTATCAACAATGAGACACATGAAAACTGACAAGTATGCCTGGGCCAGAATAAGCTCTCAAAGGAGCTGTGTGGGTGGCGGGTGTTGCCGGGCTACTGTAATTATGCTGAGACTTAATTACTCTGCCTATTCAGGCATGATTGTTTAGGGGAAAAAGGTAAATTTAAGATAGTAAAGTTGAAATCATAGAAAGCTAAATAATCAATGATGTGCCTGCAAAAAAAAAAAAAATCACTTCCAGAAAGTAGGGAAATAAATTACTCTTTAGCAAAACCAGGGCACATTGCTCACTGCATGTGAGTAAACAGTGCAGCAATGCAAGGCTGCTCGCTGGCTTAACTATTTGTAAATAACAGTGTATTACTGCTACACAACGGCTGGCAGGTCGTAAAGTCTGCACAAGCTCTGCCAGTGCTGCCTCAGAGTTATTCCTAGTTTCTAGTTAACAGCAGAGGTGCACAGAAGCTAGATGGGGCAGTGGTGTGGAATCAGATGAACCTGGGCCTGGTCTTCAGGGAGTCTCTACAGCTCCACAGAGCTCAATGGTCTCTGTGGAGCAAGCGTGGTCAGCCTTGGCCCTCCAGGCGTGCCCACCACGTGAGCCATGGACATCAGTCATTACTCAAGCCCAGGTCTGGAGAAAGGCGGATGCACTGAGCTGACTTTCCCTGTCTCTTACAGTGGGTTTTTGTTACTGATTCAGGTGACTGTCTACAATAGACTGCATCTTTATTGTACAACTGAGCACATTTTGAACAGTACGGTTTGTTAAGATGATCGCCTACTGGCCCATTCCTCACATGGGAGATATTTCTCCTGGGCTGAAGGGCATGGACCAATTGTCTAAATCTGCTGCAGATGGTTATATGGACGGGAAACAATGGTAGTCTCACCTGGCAAATATCAACAAAGCCACCACCAGCAGAGGGATTTTAAAAAGGTCATGAAGTCGTTTGGTTTCCGTTTCTTCATCTTTGAAGGACATGAGACTATGGGGCAAGGGGATTATGCGCTGAGGCTCTAACTACACACCTGCTTTGGTCAGTGACAAATTACTAAGGGATCACAGTGCTCCTTCCTTTCTGCCCATTGGGGCTTTGGCGCCCTCTTCTGCACATCTGGATGAGAAGGGTGTTGCCAGTGAATGGGTTCGGGGTATGACCTGAACCTATTTTTCCAGCCTCAGACTAAATCCTCTCCCTGAATCCCTCCCTGATTTAAACAAAAAAAAATCTCAATTCTTCTAATTTAGATGATTTTTTAACATATGACAAGTTTTCAAGCCAACTCTGCCTTCATCTACATGCACCTGTAGATAATCACCTTTAACAAGGGACCAAAGCTCAACAATCAGCCTGGAAACTTTGGAGGAAGTAGATTAAATACAGGGTTTGCAAAGACATGCTGTGCATTATGTGATCAAATCTTACTGTCACTGGGTACAGGGACATACAGTTATTGTAAGTTAAAGACTGAGTAGCTTTTAAAAACATTCATAGGGGGACTCTAAACAAATGGAAAAACTTACCTAACCATATAAGGCTAGGAGTTTTCAGTCTCATGCCTTCTTGTATGCTGTAAAGTCATCTTTTCTGAGTTCACCTACACCACTGGGTAGGCCAGCAATAGAAAAGTTGACTTTAATTCCCTAGAGTGGTTAGTCAGTGGTGGTTCTCCTGCTTCCTGGAATTTCCCTCTCAACGTTTACATTTCTGACAGACTAAATGGGGATATTGTAGCCAATAATCTGAAGGCTTTGATCCTAAAAATGGCACATCCCCAAGCAATACAAACAAGCTTCATTCTCAAATATATGAATTTTTCTTTAATTAAAAAAATTCTGCTTTTTTAAAAAGAAGAACTGGACAGTAAAGTTAGGTACTAGGAGAATGGATGGATAATGAGAACAAAAAGAAAACCACACACTGAGAGAAAATATTTCCAAAACACACATCTAATCAAAGAGTGAGGATCCAAAAGACTTAAAAGTCAACAAGAAAACAACCACTAACAAAAAAGTATAACAGCTGAATCGATGTCTTAGCAAAGGAGATATTCAAATGGCCAACAAGTAGATGAAAAGCTGATCAACATTGTGTGTCACAGGGACTTTCCAGGTACAACAATCATGCCACACCTGCCACAGCCTATTACGATAGGTAACATCTAAGGCTCTGACAGTGTCAAACGCTAGCAAGGATGAGGGGCAGCAGAAGCTCTCATTCACTGCTGGTGGGAATCCAGCACCTTGGAAGCCAGTTTGGCGGCTAGACACATGATCAGCAAGCATGTCCCCTCACGTTCACCTAAAAGAGCTGAAGACTTAGGTCTACACAAAAACTATGCAGCTTTATGTATATGTTTACTGCAGCTTTATGTATAAACCGCTAAAACTTGGAAGTAATCAAAACATTCTACCAAAGAGGAATGGAGTCATGAACTGGGGCATCTAGACAACACCGAATTATTCACCAATATAAAGAAATGGGGAGGGAAGGCGACGGGTGGCAAAAATGATCGAAGTATGTTATACACGTGTATGAATATGCCAGGAGGAATCCATTACTCCGTACAAAATGCACTAATTTAAAAGAAGAAATGAGCCGTCAAGTCATGCAAAGATATTAAAGAACCTTAACTGCATACTGTTAGGCAAAAGAAGCCAATCTGAAAAGCTGACAGATCATGAGTCCAACCATCTGGCACTCTGAAAAAGGCCACACTGAGATGGCAGAAGAATGGGTGGCTGTCAGGGCCTGTGGGGTAGGAGCTGAAGACAGGGATCCCAGGGAACTTTCAGGGCAATGAAATCACTCTTGGTGCTGTCACAGGATACACATTCCGTCCCACACATAAGGGTGTCTGAGGTTGTTCATTTGTCAAACCCGACAGAACACACAACACCAGCAGTGAACTCTAATGTGGATTCCAGGTTTTAGTTACTTCGCTAACAATAACAGGTTAATATTCACTCATCAGTTACAACAAATGCACCACACTAGTGTAAAATGTGAAAAACACAGGAAACTAGCATGGAGACCACAGAGGGATTCAGAAAGTTGGTACCTTCTGCTCAATTTTCTATAAATGTAAAACTGCAAAAAAATACAAATAGAAGGAGGGGGATTTAGCTCAGTGGCATAAGCGCCTACCTTGCAAGCTTGAGTTCAATTCTCACAACTATGAGTTCAATCCCCCGTACCAAAAAAGAGAGAGAGAGAGAGAGAGAGAGAGAGAGAGAGAGAGAGAGAGAGAGAGAGAGAGAGAAGTAAGGCTGGGGAAGACACTAGGCAAAAAAAGCATGTAATTTCTTATTTTAAATTATAAGATAATGTGTTAATTAGCCCGAAAGGTTAATAACAAAGCTGAACTGCACTGACATCATAAATAAACAAAACTTGAGTAAATGCGAACTTGAGATTTTTTTTTTCAGAAAAATCAAAAGTTAATCTGGGAGTTTCCTTTTATGCTGACTTTCCCAGGTCATGCTGGGGACCAGGAATTGTACACTGATGTAGTGTGTCCAGGCTCTCCTTACCCTGCCTGCCTGGGGGGCCAGTTTTGGAACTCAGAAGTTCCCTTCCTCTCTCGGTAGGTGAGATGAGCACCCAGGCGTGGGGTAGGTCTTGGCTTGTTTCATGATGCTGAATTGTCCATTCTACCATAGCCTCTGTGCTGTTCCAGGAAAAGCGCCCTCCCACCTACACTGGCTGATAAATAGCAGCTGGTTTGGTGTGTCTTAGTTTCTGCTGGTCCTGAGGCGCTGACCTCCTGGCCTCCCATCATGCATCACTAAATCTGTTTGTTCCTTAGTCCACCCTTCGCGGGGACCCTCATGCGGGCAGCTGGGGATCTTAGCCAGGTCGCTGACGAGGTCACTCGCCTGCAGCATTCATCCCATCTCTGCTTGGCTGCTGCATCTCCACCAGTTAACTAATACCCTCCCGAGGC